TCCCCATCAAGATATTGATGGAATATTGGCTGGATCTTTAATTTAAGGCCCGGCCCTTAACCGTTCTTATTGATGCTGGGACATTGTGAAGCAGGAACAGTTTGTTGAGGTAAACTTTCAAATTTAACTGAAATGGGGAGAACCGTAACCCTCACAGACCCAGTCCTCAGTAGGAGGGCTGTTTCTCCTAGATCTGTCCCTTAATGCAGGAAATATGGTGAATGTATGAATACAGGGCTGCAGCAATTCAACAGTGGTTCAATCGGCCAAAGCCTGGGTCACTGAACCCACACAAACACACCTGACCCTCCCTTCCTGATTGATATGGGCCTCTGGGCCCACACTCCTAAAGCAAGGTCAGAGGTCGTGGGTGACTTGGTTATTATAATACTCAAAAGAAGTTTAGAACCACCCGTTTCTTTCATATCACTATAGTTACTCTGTCATGTCAAAAGACTTTTAGGACCACCTGATTCTTTCATATCACTATAGTTAATCTGTCATGGCAGATTCACTGTAGTGATATGAAAGAATCGAATGGACCTTAACTTCTTTTGAGTAGTATGCATATTCAAATACTCCTGAAGCTCTTGAGAGGATTGAGTTTTGTATCATTTTGGATTTTGTCACAAATCAATCAATTCTTGACTTATAAGAGAATTGAGATTTAATACCCTGCTTCAGCGAGGATGTGATTACCATTGCAAAATTTTAATGTCTTGCATTTCAAGCCATGCAAAATGTCCATGTTGGCCCAGTGGGGTGAAATTGGCCAGGCTTTGAATCCCAGATTAGGGATCGACCATTTGATATTCTTGGGGATCCTGGGATTATGTCTGGAGATTAGATATTTTTTCAGCTACAATTTTTTTTTTCCAACACTCTGAAGCAGAATTATTTTTTCAAAGCATTTTCAGGCACAATTTAACCCCCCACCCCCCACCCCCCGAATATCATTGATCTGTCCCTTACGATGCTTGGTCTGACAGCACATTGTAAGAACATCTCTTAGAACTGTGTCTTCTCTCATGGAACTTTGTACTCTCTCTAGATCTAATAATATTCTGGGGGCACAGGTGGCCCAGTCGTCTAAGGCGCCGCAATTCGCTGTGCAGAGTTGCGTCCCTTGGGCACGCCAGAAACCTATGATTGTGGGTTCGAATCCCGGTTCGCCCCATTTATGTTTCTAGGTTTGTCAGCACCATACCCGTGCTCATGGGTTTCACCGAAGTGGTAAACGTCTGAAACCTGCATCACTTCGGGCTTTCCTCCCTCATTAAGCTGACACGCCGTGATATAACTGGAACACTGTTAAAAGCGGCGTCAAACCCAACTCACTCACTCACTCACTAATAATATTCTCCCCCCCTCCCCCTGAGCTAGTAGAGTAAAATATAACCCCATACAAATGCTGCTTTTTTTAAATCTTAACATTCCGTGTTAGAACCCAAACTTAAGTCAACATAATAGCTCTTGTAGCTTGACATAAGATAAGAAGGTCGTATGTGTAAATACATGCATAGAGAAATATAAGACCTAAAATAGCAGTATGACCCATTTCGCAGTTTATTGCAACAAGTGTCAGTAAGAAATGCGAAGTTGTTCTCATTAAACCTGAGTTTTTCTTTAGACGTGAAATATGCAATGCAATGCAAATTGTTAACTTGAAGAATCCCTCACATGTGTCTTCTGACATAAAATGGGCAATTCTGTTATTGTAACTAATTTTATAACGATCATCAGAACTTAAAACTATCCTCAATATTAGTACTTCATTAGTGCCATGTGGGATAGTCGATGACCTTACCACATAATCTACGGATATGCAGAGCTCCAGATAAGCTGCGTATCTGCGTGAAATACGCATCAGAAATGCAGAAATACACAGTAAAATATAATCCAAGCATATCAAATATGCAACGAACATTACAGATACGCTACAAAAATAAAACTTGTGCGTATTATCAAAATATTGTGAAGTAACCCTGCGTATTCTATTAGCAAATCAGCAACTTATTTTGAAATTATAAACGGGCATTCCGTCAACCTTGCCAAACTCCACGATGACAGTTACATCATGATCATTTGCCATCACACTTTCTTGTGGAAGTATCATTGTATTTTTGAGTCCTATAAAGCTCTCGAACCCACACGACACCAGTTTGCAGGGACTAGATGAATAGTGTTTTTAAATATTTAACTTAAATACCCACATGTGTAAAAACTAGTGGGTAACAGAAATTTGAATACGCAGATAGAATTACTGATACCCAATGATTTTAAAATGCATGGGTAAAATACCCACAACACCAAAAGCTTATCTGGAGCTCTGGATATGTCTTTTTTTTGGCCTTTGCCATTAATTTAATTATCTCTTCACATACACGCACATGGATGGCCAGTCATCTCAGGCTCTGAGATTCACTGTAGAGAATTGCTTCTGCTAAGTGTACCAGAATCCTATAATCATGGATGCAGATGTTGCTAGGGTTGTCAGTATCCATCTTCCCGAGGCAAACGTGTCCACATGCCTATATCAAAGCCTTGTTTCCCGAGGCAAGCGTGTCCACATGCCTATATCAAAGCCTTGTTTCCCGAGGCAAACGTGTCCACATGCCTATATCAAAGCCTATTTTCTACCCTTGCCACACCAAGGCAACTTTTCTTGGCTCCATCCTGGCACCACCTCGCGTAGATTCACAAGTTGTGCCCCTTGTAATGAAAATGCGATATCCAATCAGATCGCTGTTTTTATCTCATATAGCTTCTCAAAAATGGCGATTACCATAGGCGGCGATAACGAAAACATTTGCGATTTCATCAGTGACACACAAAAATATGCAATCGTTGTGGGGTTTAAAAGATGAAAAAGACATATTCCTATCAACAAAGACAGGCGGTGGTAAATCACTTTCATGCAAAGGTGAACCAGTCGTGGATGTTCACTTTGTGAAACGATCTCTGAATGGACTTTCGATTTGTGCGATAGTCCAATCAAATTTAGCACAGGAAAGTGGGCTTGATGTGGCAAGGGTGGAAACAAGATATAGATAGAAAGGCTAATGGACACTCTTTCCTCAGCACCATGCCCATGCTCTAGATTTCACCAAAGTGGTAAAATTTCTTCCCACATCAAGCTGACATGCTGTCAAATAACTGAAATACTGTTGAAAGCAGCGTAAAACCAAAGTCACTCACTCACTCCTCCCACATCAAGCTCACATGTCATGATATAACTGAAATACTATTCAAAGAGGCATTAAACCAAACTCACTCGCCCTCCTCATATACTAGCTTTACCTCCGAGGTAAACTTGACCTCGATTGATCAAATCATATCTTTATAAGACTCATTGTGACCCGATGTTTGAAACCTATACGTGTGAATATTCCATAGCGTGATCATATCACTCTCCACCTGTTCTTCCATTGTGTTGAACCATTGATTGCTGGTGATCCTAAGTCATACTTACTTGGGCATTAGATGCAGCTGACAAATTAGAAATCTGTGACAATGAGTGTGTAGATGTCGAGTTTTGCTGCATGTTTTATAGTCTCTCATATTGGATAAAACAATACCATGGACCATGAAGAACATAGACCCGTGAAGATCTAGGTTAGAATAGGTCTTCAGCAACCCGGGGCGGTCGGGCAGCCTATTGATTAAAGCGTTCGCTCGTCACGCCGAAGACCCGGGTTCGATTCCCGACATAGGTACAATGTGTGAAGCCCATCTCTGGTGTCCCCCGCCGTGATATTGCTGGAATATTGCTAAAAGCTGCGTAAAATCAAACTCATTCACTCACTCACTTGCTGTAAGAGGCGACAATGCTTGTTGTAAGAGGCGACAATGCTTGCTTGTAAGAGGCGACAATGCTTGCTTGTAAGAGGCGACAATGTTTGCTGTAAGAGGCGACTATGCTTGTAGTAAGAGGCGACAATGCTTGCTGTAAGAGGTGACTATGTTTGTTGTAAGAGGTGACTATGCTTGCTGTAAGAGGTGACTATGCTTGCTGTAAGAGGTGACTATGCTTGTTGTAAGAGGCGACAATGCTTGTTGTAAGAGGCGACAATGCTTGCTTGTAAGAGGCGACAATGTTTGCTGTAAGAGGCGACAATGCTTGTTGTAAGAGGCGACAATGCTTGCTGTAAGAGGTGGCTATGCTTGTTGTAAGAGGCGACAATGCTTGCTTGTAAGAGGCGACAATGTTTGCTGTAAGAGGTGACTATGCTTGTTGTAAGAGGCGACAATGCTTGTTGTAAGAGGCGACAATGCTTGTTGTAAGAGGCGACTATGCTTGTAGTAAGAGGCGACTATGCTTGTAGTAAGAGGCGACTATGCTTGTTGTAAGAGGCGACTATGCTTGTTGTAAGAGGCGACTATGCTTGTAGTAAGAGGCGACAATGCTTGCTGTAAGAGGCGACAATGCTTGCTGTAAGAGGCGACAATGCTTGCTGTAAGAGGCGACAATGCTTGTTGTAAGAGGCGACAATGCTTGCTGTAAGAGGCGACAATGCTTGCTGTAAGAGGCGACAATGCTTGTTGTAAGAGGCGACTAACGGGATTGGGTTCCAGACTCGATTATTTACAGACCGCAGTCATACAGCTGTAATATTTGTGTTGAGTTAAACAACAAAGAAACAAACAAATACTTTGGACAAAATATAACAAATTTCTTATTTTCCATGTTTACTTTCTGTAATTCTGTGACCATGAACATATGGTAACGGTTGTCAAGAGCTCTTAGTGCTTTAATTGACCGTGCATGGTAGCCTCCCTTGTCCAAGTCAGGATGTGCTAGTTATGGGTTTGAGCCCCAGACTAATTATATTTTTGGTGTCACAGAATCCTAACTGGTGGATTTTACTCTAGGGGTAAAAGTCAAGTATCAGCTTCATGTAGCCTTTCCTCCCATGTAACTTGACGCAGTGTGACCAGCTGAAACTCTGTTCAAAGTGGAAGGAAACTCAATTCACTCACTCACTGTCTTGTCTCTCCAGCCTCCGTGTCAAGTCCGTGTTCACTGGCCGAATACCACAGTCTGCAGAAGGAACTTGAAGAACGAAACAACCAGCGTGATGACCTTCTGCTACAGGTCAAGGTAGGTTACACAAAGGTCTAACATGATGATTGAATGAGGATCAAGGGTTCACAATGGATCGTGATAGTATTTGAAATAATCAGATTTGTTGCTGCCACCTGGCAGAATATCAACCACTGGATTGTCTGCTTCAGGTCCGGGTATTGTATAATATAGCTAAAATGGATAGAATTATCACTAAACTGCGTGCATGTTATCAGAAATGGACCACTGTAACTTGATAATGCTAGCCCACTGACATACCATGCTGCAGTTTAACAGCTGTGACAGTGTTTTTGGTAAACATCCTAGTTTGGACCACTACAAACTACAAATTATACTTGAGAAAGAAGTATAAAATGACAAATATTAGCCTTTGCTGTAATACAGCAATCAAAGGTGTTAATTAGAGGCATGTTATTGTGATTTTTAAAAACAACCAGAATCAAGTATTTATACTTAAAGATCATCAAATAAAAGCAACAAATCCATTTCCATTATCATATGAAATCTCTAAGAGCAGAGCAGAAGCCCTTGGTCTTTTCAAATGGCCTCCTTCGTCATGCAGTTAATGGAAGACCTCAGGCTTCAGCAAATGATAATGCCCTGAAAAATAGCCTTACCCTTATAGTGTACTGAGATATTGGTAACAGGGCATTAAACACAATTTTTCCATGACATACTATATGTCCTTGTTTCTATTGAGGTGAACACTTCAACTGCCTTTGCATGTGTTTGTGATGGATGCCACTTGTCCAGGAAATGCTCACCTTTTCGCGAACACCTGGTATCATCACTAATTGATAGTGATTCATAAACACATACTTAATATATAGTCTGAATCATGCAATGGACTCTGCTCTTAGAGATTTCATATGATAATGGAAATGGATTTGTTGCTTTTATTTGATGATCTTTAAGTATAAATACTTGATTCTGGTTGTTTTTAAAAATCACAATAACATGCCTCTAATTAACACCTTTGATTGCTGTATTACAGCAAAGGCTAATATTTGTCATTTTATACTTCTTTCTCAAGTATAATTTGTAGTTTGTAGTGGTCCAAACTAGGATGTTTACCAAAAACACTGTCACGTCTGTTAAACTGCAGCATGGTATCTCAGTGGGCTAGCATTATAAATTGGTATCACCACACCACACACACCACACACCACACACCACACACCACACACCACACACACACACCATATGCACGCCAAACGCGCACATGCACGCACGCACACACACACATGGACGTGACATTCAACCCCATTTCCCCTCACCTATAGGTAACATGGTTCCACATTGAAAGCATTGTATGTCTATACATGTTAACTGTTGACTATGCCATTGTATATTGCCTGATAACGATGAGATATCCTACTTTCCCTTTTGAGGAATAATGGAAATGTGAAGCTTACTGAAAATGATCAAATCATTCACCTATGCACTGATAACTTTCGGCCAATATGTATCAATATGATTTTTAGGAACCATTTTAATAAATATCCTCAACCTGCTCAATGGTGTTATAAAGCAAAAAATTTGAATACAAATAATATACAAACAGTGGACAAGTACAGTATCACAAACATAAAAAATATTGATCACAAGTATATATCCCAGTAAATATAATCATACAGCTGAAATATTGTTGAGTGCAGTGTTAAATAACAAACAAAGTAGAAATATTGTTAACTTAAATTATCCAACGTTTTTTCTTCATAATCTATCATCTATGTTTATATGATTGCCTCGGTGGCCTAGTGGATAGGGTGTCTCAGCAGAATGGACAGTAGGTGGTTCAGTCCCTCATTCCAACAGACGGTAAACGGTGGTAGTTGTTACCCTGCCTGGTGTTTGGCATTAAAGGCATAACACAAGGACTGGTGAGCTTAGAGTCAGTATAACATGGAATATCAATGTAAAATTCCAGCATGGAATATCAATGTTAACTTGCGGCATGGTATTGTAGTGGGCTTGCACTATAAAACAAGCACAAATCTTGATGAGTAAAAACAGCGACACACAAATATATGCATATGTGCAATACTCTTGAATGCAATGTTAAACCCCATTTCATCACACCTGGTGTCATACTGCCTCTGTATCGCCATGATGGCAATTCAGCTCCAACTGGAGATGCTCATGCAAACTGACAAATTGACGGTGATTTGTCCTTGACCTTATTTTCATGGCAATGTTGAGAGGGAACGACTTCAGACACATACAAGGATCCCGAGTGGATTGCACACATCTACCTTTTTGAAGCATGTTAGTCATGGTGTAGTATAAAAAACATATAACTAAATCATATAGTGACATATTCTGAAATTAAATAACAATGACCTGACAACAGTTTGGGTAACAAATGTAAATTGTTTTCCGAATAGTTTCTCTTCATTTTTATATTTCAAGTACACCCACCCCCACCTAACCTTTTTCCCAAACGCTGTGCACATGCATGCATGCACGCACGCACACACCCACATACCTTTTTCCAAAACGCTGTGCACATGCATGCATGCATGCACGCACACACACACCCACATACCTATTTCCAAAACGCTGTATGCCCACTTGAAACATGTAAATCTCTCTGAAGTGACACCTACGTAAAACTTGAAATCAATGATAAACTTTGGTCTTCTTTTCCTTAAACTCTGTGGGGGTGGATTACTTGTGTTTGAAGATTATATCATGAGAAATCTATACCATGTACCAGCCATTCTGGTATCACAGCTATTTGAAATGACTCATTTGTTTGCTGCTTTTTTATATATCTTTTTCTAAAAACAAACATGAAATAGCGAATCTGAATTTTCTCAGGTTGATAATGTCAAGCATAAGGTTATACAACCTCTATGGAATGTTTGTCAGAACTTATCCTTGAACCTTGTTTTTCGGTGAGTGAAGCTAAATTAATGGGGGACCTAAACACCCAATAGTGGCTTTAATTCACTAATAGGTTTTAATCGCCTCGCTCGCTCGCTCACTCACTCACTCACTCACTCACTCACTCACTCACCTACTCACTCACCCACCCAAAACCAACCCACTCACTCACTCACTCACTCACTCACTCACTCACTCACTCACTCACTCACTCACTCACTCACTCACTAACTCTCTGTTCAGGCTCTAAAACTACAATGTGTTGCAACAGGCAGTACAAAATGACTTCACAATCCTGCTTCAACCTTGCGGGTATGTACAGACATTTAATAACTGTGTAGACATTTCATTTTCTTAGAGACCGCCTCTGTGGTCTAGTGGTAGAGTGTCTGCCCTGAGAGCGAAGGTCCGGGGTTTGATCCCCTTCCTTGTCATACCAAAAGATGTTAAAAGATGGTACTTGTTGTAACCCTGTCTGGCGCTTGGCATTAAAGGACTGAAACAAGGATTGGTCGGCTTGGAGTCAGTATACTGTGTCTGAGTGGGGTTATTCATGTTAAGCTGCAGCATGGTATCTCAGTGGACTAGCACTATAAAATCAGCATTAGTCCAGACTAGTACAAACAGACACACATACACATGTGCTTGCACATCATGACATAAGCGCAACAATCTTGAATGCGACATTAAACCCCATTTTCTTGGAAATCAGGTGCCGAGAATTTTGAGACCTGAATCTTTCTTGATATTAGTCTCTGTAGATATCCTGAAACAAATATATCCAAATTCTCAAGTATAAGCATGTCTACAACACAAGATTTCTTCAGTGTCCAGTAGTGAGAGACATTTTAATAAAAAAATTATCTGTAAAAATATTTTCATTTCAGAGAATTAATGTCAGTCTATCTTGATAAATAACACAAAACATTCAATGGCCATCAAATGAGTTATCTAGATTTACCTACAGATACTTTGAAAGAAAACTATTTTGAAGCAGATCTTGTTCCACCCGAGTTCTCCACAGCACCCTCCTTTTGTATTCCAGACATCTGCCCTAAAACAGTCACACATGATCACACATGTTTACTTCCAACATCACACAAAAACACAGCACACTTCACTTAACCCTGTTTCTTCCACCCACAATGTATTGTATTGACAGACTACGAGGATGGTATTTACTGAAAGAGGATGGACTTTGAAGCTTGGTGTATCTTTGGTCTCTTTGTCCTTCCCTACGATCCCTCATTCACTTCAGTGCCCCTGTCCTCTATACTTAATTCTGTCAGCTGCTCATGTTTGTGGCAAACTGTATCAATATTTGACATATCTAAGATGATATACACATATATCTCCTCCATACTAAGTGGTAGCTGCTTATATGTTTACAAGTATGTGGCAAACTATCAATATTTAACAGACCTTGCATGATATACACATATATCTCCTCCATACTAAGTGGTAGCTGCTTATATGTTTACAAGTATGTGGCAAACTATCAATATTTAACAGACCTTGCATGATATACACATATATCTCCTCCATACTAAGTGGTAGCTGCTTATATGTTTACAAGTATGTGGCAAACTATCAATATTTAACAGACCTTGCATGATATACACATATATCTCCTCCATACTAAGTGGTAGCTGCTTATATGTTTACAAGTATGTGGCAAACTATCAATATTTAACAGACCTTGCATGATATACACATATATCTCCTCCATACTAAGTGGTAGCTGCTTATATGTTTACAAGTATGTGGCAAACTATCAATATTTAACAGACCTTGCATGATATACACATATATCTCCTCCATACTAAGTGGTAGCTGCTTATATGTTTACAAGTATGTGGCAAACTATCAATATTTAACAGACCTTGCATGATATACACATATATCTCCTCCATACTAAGTGGTAGCTGCTTATATGTTTACAAGTATGTGGCAAACTATCAATATTTAACAGACCTTGCATGATATACACATATATCTCCTCCATACTAAGTGGTAGCTGCTTATATGTTTACAAGTATGTGGCAAACTATCAATATTTAACAGACCTTGCATGATATACACATATATCTCCTCCATACTAAGTGGTAGCTGCTTATATGTTTACAAGTATGTGGCAAACTATCAATATTTAACAGACCTTGCATGATATACACATATATCTCCTCCATACTAAGTGGTAGCTGCTTATATGTTTACAAGTATGTGGCAAACTATCAATATTTAACAGACCTTGCATGATATACACATATATCTCCTCCATACTAAGTGGTAGCTGCTTATATGTTTACAAGTATGTGGCAAACTATCAATATTTAACAGACCTTGCATGATATACACATATATCTCCTCCATACTAAGTGGTAGCTGCTTATATGTTTACAAGTATGTGGCAAACTATCAATATTTAACAGACCTTGCATGATATACACATATATCTCCTCCATACTAAGTGGTAGCTGCTTATATGTTTACAAGTATGTGGCAAACTATCAATATTTAACAGACCTTGCATGATATACACATATATCTCCTCCATACTAAGTGGTAGCTGCTTATATGTTTACAAGTATGTGGCAAACTATCAATATTTAACAGACCTTGCATGATATACACATATATCTCCTCCATACTAAGTGGTAGCTGCTTATATGTTTACAAGTATGTGGCAAACTATCAATATTTAACAGACCTTGCATGATATACACATATATCTCCTCCATACTAAGTGGTAGCTGCTTATATGTTTACAAGTATGTGGCAAACTATCAATATTTAACAGACCTTGCATGATATACACATATATCTCCTCCATACTAAGTGGTAGCTGCTTATATGTTTACAAGTATGTGGCAAACTATCAATATTTAACAGACCTTGCATGATATACACATATATCTCCTCCATACTAAGTGGTAGCTGCTTATATGTTTACAAGTATGTGGCAAACTATCAATATTTAACAGACCTTGCATGATATACACATATATCTCCTCCATACTAAGTGGTAGCTGCTTATATGTTTACAAGTATGTGGCAAACTATCAATATTTAACAGACCTTGCATGATATACACATATATCTCCTCCATACTAAGTGGTAGCTGCTTATATGTTTACAAGTATGTGGCAAACTATCAATATTTAACAGACCTTGCATGATATACACATATATCTCCTCCATACTAAGTGGTAGCTGCTTATATGTTTACAAGTATGTGGCAAACTATCAATATTTAACAGACCTTGCATGATATACACATATATCTCCTCCATACTAAGTGGTAGCTGCTTATATGTTTACAAGTATGTGGCAAACTATCAATATTTAACAGACCTTGCATGATATACACATATATCTCCTCCATACTAAGTGGTAGCTGCTTATATGTTTACAAGTATGTGGCAAACTATCAATATTTAACAGACCTTGCATGATATACACATATATCTCCTCCATACTAAGTGGTAGCTGCTTATATGTTTACAAGTATGTGGCAAACTATCAATATTTAACAGACCTTGCATGATATACACATATATCTCCTCCATACTAAGTGGTAGCTGCTTATATGTTTACAAGTATGTGGCAAACTATCAATATTTAACAGACCTTGCATGATATACACATATATCTCCTCCATACTAAGTGGTAGCTGCTTATATGTTTACAAGTATGTGGCAAACTATCAATATTTAACAGACCTTGCATGATATACACATATATCTCCTCCATACTAACTGGTAGCTGCTTATATGTTGACAAGTATGTGGCAAACTTTATCAATATTTACACATACACATATATTCCCTCTGGAGCTCACATTTAACCCATATTGTTTTAGGAATATAAAACATAATCAACTTGTTATTTTACCTGTTGAGTCTCTTTTTACAAATAAGCATAACTAATAATCCAAAATGGCATAATCTTGATCAAGGGAGTGTTGTATTAGGAAATAACTGTATTCTTTATACTATGTTTATGGAATATCTGTGATTTATGAGATGCTTTTGGGGTACAAATATGGCAAGGAAAAATGGCTTTAGACTTGTTAAAAATATTTGTAATTTTAGTTTTGTTTATTCATAATATATTTAAGAAAATGTTGGATGGATTCATGATTATAAACCCAGGCTTGTCAAGGTCTTTGGAATTCCTAGGAACATTGTGAGTCAGTATGGTTTTATGCCACTTTTAGCCATATTTCAGCAATATCACTGCAAGGGTCACCAGAAATGGGCTTTGCACATTGTACATATGTAGGAAGTTGAACCCGGGTCTTTGGTGTGACTAGCGAACGCTTTAACCAATAGGCTACCCGACCGCCCCTTCTCAGAACATAAGATCCCCTGTTATAATCGCTGTTGTTGACACATAGTTTGTCCGTCAACACAATATTCAGATCTGTTGTCTGGCATGATTTAAACTCAGAAGAGTTGCACCTCATGTATCAGAGTAAGTGCAGCTCTGCTTCTTCAAGTGAGCCTACAGACATGTTTTTTTGTTTGTTTGTTTGTTTGTTGTTTAACCTCATTTTGTGAGGTTAGACATAAAATGTATAAATATTGAGTATGTTTCAGAAAGGAATGGGGAGGGGAACACATTCCTGTACCCTCCTTCTAGATAGATGTATGCCATGTGTCTAATTGTATCTAAATCTTCACTTCTGGACCGATAATTTATCTCTTTCTTTAACAGTTTTAAGCTTTTAAATTTAAACAGCCTCATCTTTTGTCACCTTCAGAAATTAGTTTTGTCCAAATATCAACAAACCAATGGGACACATTTCTATAATTTTACTCTGTAAAAGTGTATGGTGAATACAAGGGAGATAATCCATAACTCTTCTCATGACACTATTAATCTAGTGTTTGAACAGAGATCATATACCGATACCGGTATATGGTCTCTGGTTTGAATTTGAATCTAAGTTTCCGTTTGATTGAATAAAGTTGAAACAGTCAAAAATTATAAATTTTCTGTTCAAATGTATTCACGGTCAAACAAATAAATTTTTTACTTCTTTGCCAGATTTGATGGAGGGTATAGGAAACATATATCAGAGATAGGAAATATTACATCTCACCAATTGTTTGTCTGTATAAATTGACTTTTAAAACGTCCTAACCATGAATGCTTATGAATCCCTTACATTTGCATTCCTTTTATTATTATTTTTGATGAAATGTTGCTCTGTTGCAGACATTAACAGACAAGAACAAGCACTATCGGTCAACATTAACTAACGAAGAAAACAGTAAGAAACAACAACTGGGAATTCTACGAAAAACTCACCAGACCCAGCTAGAAGAAAAAGACGACCTAATTCAGACCCTCAAAGAACTATTAGAGGAACATGAGAGTAGGATAGAACAGCTAGGGAGAGATGTACAGGGTGAGTCTTATTATTACATATTGCACCATCAATACTGCCCGGGTTTCGATACATATTTTCGTTTCACGGGACCGCTGCCCCTACTGAAATGCAGCTGGGAAAAAAAAAAATTAAACATAAAAATATTTATTTTTATTATGGCTCCCGCTAGTAACATTGACCCTCTTATAAAATATAAACTGTTAAATTCCATATAAATTCCATGTCTACATCACTGTCAGTGATTAAAGAAGCCAGCTGTAGTTTTAACTCCACGGTAGAATGACTTTCATATTAATAAACAAATGATAGACAGCTATTTATTTTCATTTTCATTTCGACCGACCTTGTGTGCAAAAGCAGGAATAAATCTGTGAAAAATATCAACATGCCCCAACGCCATGGCTTGTTCCTCATAATATCAATCACTGGATTGTCTTGTCCGGACTGGATTATTTACCGACTGAAATATTGCTGAGAGTCGCATTAGACAATGTGACTAGTCATCCAAGTTTCATGTTTTCATGTGTTTAATCCATGAATCAGTATCTGCTGACTCATAAATTATAATAAGTTTGAATAGGCCGTGAATGGTATCTGTTTAACCCATGCTTCACAACTGACATGGCTAGTCCTTCAACACATGTATCGCCCATCTTGCAGGTAACATCACAGCACAGGCGACCTCCACCAACCCACCCAGCACAGGCACAGATATAGCCTCGACCTCAGCCTCCACATCAGCCTCGACCCCAGCTTCCAAGTTGGTGGAGAAGGTGACCCTCCTCCAGGATGACAAGTTGGAGCTGACCAGGGAGCTGGTGACCTTGCGCTCGGAGACGGAGCTGCATGAGCTGGGCCAGAATGAAACCATCCAGAACCTTCAGCAACTCAACGCCAAGCTGGAGAAGGAGAACGCCCAGCTGCATGACGAGATCACCAAACATCACTGTGGGAGTGACTTTGATGTAGGTCCATAGTGTACAGCCTCATCCAGGTGTGCCTTGGGGTAGGGGTGAAATAATGCAGCAAGGTCATGATACAATGTGTATCACGATACATAAGTCACGATACGATATTTATGTCAAATCACATGGAAACTTCTTGACAATAAATATTTCAGAGCACATTCAAATGGGAAGGCTAGCTATAGACACATGTTCGTAGCAGCTGTTTTAGTGAAATTGAAAAGCTAATTACAACACATTTTGCGATATCTGACTAACAAAAACGCCAGGGGTCATTAAACGAATAGTAAGTAACTTATTTCAGCAAGAGTATCATCTTGTATCAATACAGACAAAATGTATCGTGTATCATATCCTCACATGAAATCTAATGGTGCACCGATGTATCGTTTCACCCTTACCTTGTGGATGGTAATTATACAGAAGGACGTCCTCTGTTTCCCCTCCTTCTGAAACCTTGACCCCTCATGCTCATCTGGTGTGACATAGATTACTATAGTTCCGGATCGGTGAAATAGTTGGAGAATGAGTGAAAAATGATATATAATTCATGTCCGAAATGGATTGTAGATGAGTGAGAATTCATATGTCACCTCTTCACATATGAGATCTTTGTGTGTAAGCCTCAGTTTAAAGTAAGGTGCAGCAAAATGACGAATTCAATTAAATTAATCAAATTATTCATTCCTCACTGTTCAGGTAACCACGGATGATAATTTCATTATAGTTTTTTACACTGCCTGGGGCTCAGCACAAAAGGGATAATAACACTCCGCACACTCACTCACTCACTCACTCACTCACTCACAAACTTCACCCCCCCCCCCCCCCCCCCCCCCCCCCCACACACACACACACACACACACACACACACACACACACATGTCGATCATTAATCTTGAATGCAACATTAAACCCTATTTCACCTCACCTCATTATAATTTAATACCAGCCATCAATCTGTAAGCATGTATGTTTAAAATTGTGTAATCCTGAGATGTGTGTACAAATTTCAAAGTAACAAGCATTGCCTAAAAGTGGCTGCAAGTGCCTAAAAATTGTTAGTAGTCTAACACAGATTTCCTAACTGTCCACATTAGCATTGGCTGGAACAAAATGAGTGGAACTCAAGCCAGGCCATTAAGTCATGGTAAGCCAGGAGAACAAAGCCGAGCTGTGAAGGTAGTGCTGCATGCCCCCTGCTGGGTTGTCACATCAATCTATACACTGGCACTTTTACTAAGACTTTATTGATTCAAAGTTCAATGTGTGATTTTCATACTCCATAATTCTCTCTTTACCAGGTATCGTATGCATTCAGGTGAAACACCATAATCAATAAAAACGGTTAAATGAATTTCCACCTACAACCCACAAGGCATTTATAATTCATGGAGTTTATTTTCACATCTTGAAGCCCGCAGGGGATGACAGAACAGACTTGTTGTGTTAGTGCCTGTTACTATCAACATTGAAGCATATTTTGACACCTACTCCTACAAGGTTTTGTAAGCAGCATTTAATACTGAAATGTTCCTAACTATTTGACTAATTAAAGCCATGTTTTTAATGGTGTCAGCGTGGCAGGTTGCCTTATGGTTAAAGCGTTGTCATGGCGAAGACCTGGGTTTGATTCCCCTCATGTGTACAAAATTATTGGTAGCCCATTCTTGGAGTCCCCTGCTGTAATATTAGTTGGGTATTGATGAAGCAGCTTAAAATCTCTCTCACTCACTCACTCACTCACTCACTCACTCACTCACTCACTCACTCACTCACTCACTCACTCACTCACTCACTCACTCACTCACTCACTCACTCACTCACTCTCTGATGTAGTGTTCGAACTTAAGGGGGTCCTTGGGTCCTTTAGATTTTCTCCGATAGTGTTTGATTCCAGGACCCTTAAATTTTAAACTTTTTCCATTGCAGTTACCAAGTGACCCTTTTACTTTCATGAAAATTTCAAACACTGCTCATGACATACCAGATACAAGTTTAATATCATTAATTTGTTTCATTATAAGTTAGCAACTGACAAAGCGTACTAAGGTCAAAATGATTATTCTTGTTCCAACCCCCATGAGTGAGATCTCCTTGTCTGACAGGTTTTAGTTTTGCTTTAGGGCAAGAAATAGATGTTTGCATTCTTTCCAACTGCATCAAAAAATAAAGCGGCAAAACCCTTTCCATATCCAATAGAAATCAATGTTTCAAAGTCATTGCCTGTTTACAAATTGACAAATTGTTTTAATATTTTGACCAAGTTGATTGAAATATTCCTATTTCATTTTATATTTTGCATTTTATGACCACCCCAGATTTCTAATTTTGCGAAGGCTCATATGTATCATATGTCAAATACATGATAAATCTTTAGAGAAGACAACAATATGTCCACCAGTGCATGGAGTCAAACTCCACAGATTATTTACAAACCAAACTCGTATCTTATATCCTATCAGGTCGTCTGTTGATTGGGATATTTATATGAAAAAGAATTTTATTACTTTACCCATGCAGACCCCCATGGTGTGGCTGAGTAAGTGATACGTGCTTGACCTTGGTGGTAGTGCCTTGTGGATAAATCAATAAGTTTCTGATTTCTATTTTTAAGATGTTATTTTGATGAATTATATTGATATATTAGTCAGATAGTTGTAGGAGAGGAATGTAAACATTTTTATGAACCGCAATTAAATTTTAATAAATATGTTATTCGAATCATTTGTCATTGAGATGCTCTAATCAGGAATGTGAGGATAGACTTTTCTTATCCTTAGCAGTCAAACATTCTTACTCATTACTACCATGACAAAGTTTATTGTTGAGTAGCTTAGTGAGGTGAAGATTTCGTGTCCAAGATTATTGCACTTATATAGCGATGAGCATGCATGTGTTTGTGTGGCTGCTTGTACTAGTTTGGACTGATGCAAATTTATAGTGCCATCTCACTGAGATACCATGCCACAGTTTAACATTAATACCCCACTCAGAATATACTGACTCCAAGCCGACCAGACCTTGTTTTAGCCCCTTCATGCCAAGCGCCAGACAAGTACCATTTTTTAATGCCTTTTGGTATGACACGGCTGGTGATCGAACCCCAGACCTTCTGCTCTCTGGGTGGACGCTCTACCACTAGACAATGGTGGTCGTGTAGCTGAGTGGGTAGCTAGAGACTTTGGTTTGATTTAACTCTCAGGTACATTGTGTGAGACCGATTTTTTATATCATCTTGCTGTTGGGTTGACAGAATATTGCCCAAGGAGATGTAAAACCATTCTCACTGATTGAATAACTGTCATTTTATAAGCTGCCATGTGTATGGTAGAGAGTTGAAGACAGAAAGGTTGGCCTGACCCACACAGCTCTTTGTGTCTGCCTCCACCCCCGCCACTCACTTGGGAGACATTACCCAGATCCGACTGATCAATACCGTGATTCATTACCTGTTACGGGAAGCAGACAATTAAGACATGTCCACAGCATTGCTTAGGTAGAGCCATGTCGGCATCAATAATTATGGCTAGAACTATGTCGGTATCATTGGTCACAGCTAAAACTAAGTCAGCATTAATGGGCATAGCTAGAAGTATGTTGGCATCAGTGGTCATAGCTGGAACCATGTAGGCATCAGTAGTCATAGCTAGAACTATGTCTGCTGCAATAATCATACCTAGAACCATGTCGGCATCAATGATCATAATTTGAACCATGTTGGCAGCAGTGGTCATAGCTAGAACTATGTCGGCAGCAATGGTCACAGCTAGAACCATGTCGGCATCAATGGTCATAGCTAGAACCATGTAGGCAGCAATAATCACTGCTAGAACTATGTCAGCATCAATGGTCACAGCTAGAACTATGTCAGCATCAATGGTCACAGCTAGAAGTATGTCGGCATCAATGGACACAGCTAGAAGTATGTCAGCATCAAGGGTCACAGCTAGAACTATGTCAGCATCAATGGGCATAGCTAGAAGTATGTCAGCATCAATGGTCATAGCTAGAACCATGTAGGCAGCAATAATCACTGCTAGAACTATGTCAGCATCAATGGTTACAGCTAGAACTATGTCAGCATCAATGGTCACAGCTAGAAGTATGTCAGCATCAATGGTCACAGCTAGAAGTATGTCAGCATCAATGGTCACAGCTAGAACTATGTCAGCATCAGTGGGCATAGCTAGAAGTATGTCGGCATCAATGGTCATAGCTAGAACTATGTCAGCATCAGTGGGCATAGCTAGAAGTATGTCGGCATCAATGGACACAGCTAGAACTGTGTCAGCATCAATGGGCACAGCTAGAACTATGTCAGCATCAATGGTCACAGCTAGAACAATGTCAGCATCAATGGGCACAGCTAGAACTAAGTCGGCATCAATGGTCACAGCTAGAACTGTGTCAGCATCAATGGGCATAGCTAGAAGTATGTCGGCATCAATGGTCACAGCTAGAACTATGTCAGCATCAATGGTCACAGCTAGAACTATGTCAGCATCAATGGTCACAGCTAGAAGTATGTCAGCATCAATGGTCACAGCTAGAACCATGTCGGCATCAATGGTCATAGCTAGAACCATGTAGGCAGCAATAATCACTGCTAGAACTATGTCAGCATCAATGGTCACAGCTAGAACTATGTCAGCATCAGTGGGCACAGCTAGAACTATGTCAGCATCAATGGTCACAGCTAGAACTATGTCAGCATCAGTGGGCATAGCTAGAAGTATGTCGGCATCAATGGACACAGCTAGAACTGTGTCAGCATCAATGGACACAGCTAGAACTATGTCAGCATCAATGGTCACAGCTAGAACAATGTCAGCATCAATGGGCACAGCTAGAACTAAGTCGGCATCAATGGTCACAGCTAGAACTGTGTCAGCATCAATGGGCATAGCTAGAAGTATGTCGGCATCAATGGTCACAGCTAGAAGTATGTCAGCATCAATGGTCATAGCTAGAACCATGTAGGCAGCAATAATCACTGCTAGAACTATGTCAGCATCAATGGTCACAGCTAGAACTATGTCAGCATCAATGGTCACAGCTAGAAGTATGTCAGCATCAATGGTCACAGCTAGAACTCTGTCAGCATCAGTGGGCATAGCTAGAAGTATGTCGGCATCAATGGTCATAGCTAGAACCATGTAGGCAGCAATAATCACTGCTAGAACTATGTCAGCATCAATGGTTACAGCTAGAACTATGTCAGCATCAATGGTCACAGCTAGAAGTATGTCAGCATCAATGGTCACAGCTAGAAGTATGTCAGCATCAATGGTCACAGCTAGAACTATGTCAGCATCAGTGGGCATAGCTAGAAGTATGTCGGCATCAATGGTCATAGCTAGAACTATGTCAGCATCAGTGGGCATAGCTAGAAGTATGTCGGCATCAATGGACACAGCTAGAACTGTGTCAGCATCAATGGGCACAGCTAGAACTATGTCAGCATCAATGGTCACAGCTAGAACAATGTCAGCATCAATGGGCACAGCTAGAACTAAGTCGGCATCAATGGTCACAGCTAGAACTGTGTCAGCATCAATGGTCACAGCTAGAACTATGTCAGCATCAATGGTCACAGCTAGCAGTATGTCAGCATCAATGGTCACAGCTAGAAGTATGTCAGCATCAATGGTCACAGCTAGAACTCTGTCAGCATCAGTGGGCATAGCTAGAAGTATGTCGGCATCAATGGTCATAGCTAGAACCATGTAGGCAGCAATAATCACTGCTAGAACTGTCACAGCTAGAACTATGTCAGCATCAATGGTCACAGCTAGAAGTATGTCAGCATCAATGGTCACAGCTAGAACTATGTCAGCATCAGTGGGCATAGCTAGAAGTATGTCGGCATCAATGGTCATAGCTAGAACCATGTCGGCATCAATGGTCATAGCTAGAACCATGTCGGCATCAATGGGCATAGCTAGAACTATGTCAGCATCAATGGTCACAGCTAGAACTATGTCAGCATCAATGGGCATAGCTAGAAGTATGGGCGGCATCAATGGGCACAGCTAGAACTATGTCAGCATCAATGGGCATAGCTAGAAGTATGTCGGCATCAATGGACACAGCTAGAAGTATGTCAGCATCAATGGTCACAGCTAGAACTATGTCAGCATCAATGGTCACAGCTAGAACTATGTCAGCATCAATGGGCACAGCTAGAACCATGTCGGCATCAATGGGCATAGCTAGAACCATGTCGGCATCAATAATTATGGCTAGAACTATGTCGGCATCAATGGTCTTGGCTAGAACTATATTGGTATCAATGGTCACAGCTAGAACCATGTCAGCAACAATAATCATAACTGGAACCGAGTCTTCATTAATGGTCACATCTGGAGCCAAGTAATGGGGGTCGTTTGTTTTCCCCTGTCTGCCATGTATGCTAAGCTGTTTTATATTGCAGTGTATTAGATCATGTGTGACAGATGGTCGGTTGTGCAGACAGGCAATCAGACCATTTAGGCAGGGTGGGGTTGATATTTCTCTTTGATGCTGCATTCCATTTGATGATAATTGATTTATTGTGTGTGTCTCACCATCGTAGTTATTGCTGCAGGGTTTTACCTTGACCTACAAAACTGGGGGCCTGTTGGACTGCTCTTAATTAATTTCGAGTGAGTGAGTATGGTTTTATGCCGCTTTTAGCAATATTCCAGCAATATCATGGCGGGAGACACCAGAAATGGGCTTCACACATTGTACCCATGTCGGGAATTGAACCTGGGTCTTCGGCATGATGAGGGAACGCTTTAACCACTAGGCTACCCGACCGATCTCTAATTTCAAGTGTCCTTACAGGAAATATGAAGGTCCTGTAAATAATGAAATTGTGTAGTGTACTGTAAGATTTCATAATAACTTTAATTACAGGATCTTGTCAATATTTTGGTACAATGAATATTATTGTGTATTCTTTCGGGACACATTATATTCTTTTTTCTGTGTCTATTCTGTACATTTGTGGGTACTGGACGTTCATTACTGCGTCACGTAAAACCTTCTGTGGAAGTGGCGTTAAGTTACATTTACCCACTCTCTTGACTGTATGATGGGGGATTGCAGTAGCAGGGCGTTAAGGGACATGTTTTAGGGGATTTAGCTTTACACCTTCAGTCTCCCCAGGGTATGAAACTCCCAAAAAGTTCAGCCAGACCACAGGACTGGCTAGCTGAAATACTTGCCAGCCCTGACCAAAACCTGCCTGCCCACTATAATCATATGTTTCTCAGGATAAGCTAACGGGGTTTCTTTTTGGTTACATTTTATCATTCATCTTTACATGTGAATTAATGATTATCATCGGGAAATATTTAGAATGTTGTCACATATGAAATATAACCCGACCGTCGGGCAGGGGGATTTGAAAATCTGGCAGCCCGAGTTGAAATCAACCCGTCTCGGACGGTCGGGCAGGCAGGTATTTCGAACACTGGTCTCCCTTTAGCTTCCCTGACTACGTCAGTGACTGGTGGAGAGTTCTGCTTAACATTCATGTTCAGGGCTAGACATTTATTTTGCATGGGTCATATCTAAGAGGAAGTATGAAAGTAAATTACATCAAGTTATTTACTGGTACCGTATTCGACGTAATAAGCGCCCTGCTCTAATAAGCGCCCATGGCGATATTTGCTAATATATTGGCTAGTGAACAATCTCAGTTAGCATCCCTTCCAACTGATTAATGTACACAAGACTTATTTATTTGTGTATAATACGCACCCGTATGTCATATGCACCCTTAATTATGGGCAATTAAATCCTGGAAAAATATATCTGTCGTATATAAACATTTCAGGCTGTCAGCATAAACCACGAAATTTACGATCTTTCAACTCAAAATAATATCCTAATAAGAGCTCCCTATTTCTAATTTTGAGAGCGCCCTGGGCGCTTATTACGTCAAATACGGTAATAGTTGTTTTGTAGATGCGCAAACACATTTTTGAACGTGGACAATCCCCATAAGTTTGACAGTTAGTTACATGCAGTGTTACATGCAAAGCTGTGAGCCTCATACAGTTACAGGAGCGACTCTCCGCCTGCCAAAATTTGGACCTTGACACTTATTTATATTCACTTGTGTCAATCCGAAAATGACCTATATTTTGGTAGTTTATATGTTTAGTTTATGTCATCAGAATTTAAAGCAGCATGAATTACCTGCACCTTCAACAATCACATTTTTATTAACAATTTGGGACCATACAACCATCTCGTACACCTAAAAAACCCAACTAAATCGAAACTGTTCTGATAAGTACCAGAAACTCAATACTTAATTAGCATGATATCCATTTCACCAAGCCGTATGACACACTTATTAAATTTAGGTTTGAGAAAAACAAGGAACGTATTCATGTGAATTCCATTCAAAGTTATTCATGCACAGAGAATAGTCCAAGAGATTTGTAGGCTCTTAATCCCATTTAATCACCTTTTTCAACCATTCCGATTGCAACATACATTCCCAATCATTTTACAATAACTGCTTCCTTGTACCCCTGCAGTCATCCATCACGGGGCTGTGCACGACAGACACTGAGAAGCAGCTGGAGAAGGTGCAGGCTGAGAACAACCAACTCGCCAAGCAGATCAGCGGACTCCGCAAACTCTCCGCCCGACCCTCGTCCATCGCTTTCAACTCCGACAACACACAGATTCAAGTAAGTAGAGACTTCGTACAAGAGCTGTCACTATGGTCACGGAACATTTACAGTTCTGTGGATACTATTTACCACTTATTTGTTGTAAGCAAATCTAAAGAAAGTATCTACTAACCACATAAGTCATGTAAGTGCGAGGTGTAGTCCAAGGGAGATAACTTTACCAAATTATTCAAGTCACGTTAATGGATGAACCTAGATCTGGCTCAGTTGATTAATAATCATTGTTCTTTTTTAAATTCATTGCTATTAAACATGTTAAAGAAAGTGTAGAAGATGAATGTATTTGTTTTAAAACTGTTATTATTTGTAGTTTGGCTGATATTCTGAAAACAGTTCATGTATTACTTGTAGTTTCTTATATGAGTACAGCTGGGAGGGATGGGTGGTGCAGATCCCACAATTTGATGAACAGAGTTACTTCCCTTTGTCATTCCATGCTTCACTTGTCCAGTATTCATATATTGTGGTCCTTGTGGTATTCAGCCATATACATATGATCTCTGTTTTGAAGTTGCTGCAGGAAGAAAATGAAACACTCCGAAATGAAGTGTCACTGTTGCAAGAGACTCTGGACCAGAAAGAGGCTCAACAGCGGGATGCAGAAATCAAGCATCGGTCATCAGTCATGAAACTGTCAACAGATAGCCAGGCGTTGTCGCGGCAACTGAGAGAAATGAAGGCGGAGATGGTGGCGCTTCAAGCCCGGGAACCAGAGGTGGGTGAAGCGCCGACGTTGGCAGAATAGGTCCCAAATACTATATGCTTGTAGTAAGAACTGACCGAAATGGGGATCAGGTGATCATAATGTATTGCTCCCCTCAGAACAGTTGCTCATACCATCAACCACTGGTTTGCCTGGGCCGGAAGTGAACATCTCCAGCTGCCATGAAATAATTGGGAGATGCTGCAATATAACACAACCTTCACTTACAGTATTTGCCGCATGGCTCACTTAGAAAATGGACAAAGGGGTGCTTATTAAATTTATTTGAGCAGTTGAGTTCAAACTTTAATGAAACTAAAACCTTTTCGATAATAGTTACTAGGCAACTACATGACCTTTCTATGCTGCTGTTTCTGTAAAAAAATCTGTAATATCCCCGAGAACATACAGACGGTCTTAGTAGAGGGCGCTTAAAAAGATTACCTAAAAGTAAACAACAAACTGTAGTGAACCTCTACTATAGTTTATCTTACGAATGTATGTGGTCATAAATTGATAAAGTTATAAAGTGTCCGCCTCCTTGGTGTACTGGAAAGAGCATCTGCCCGGAGAGCAGAAGGTCGGTAGTTTGATCCCCTGGTCACGTGGTACCAAAAGACATAAAAGAATGGTCCTTGTTGGTTCTTACCTAGTGCTCGGTCGGCTTCGTCGGTATTGAGTCTGTGTGGGGTATCCATGTTAAGCTGTGGCATATCTCCATGGACTAGCACTATAACATCAATAGTCTTAAACATGATGCTGAACCCTATGTCATCTGACCTTCCTGCTGTTCCTGACTGCCCCTGCAGGTGATGCATCAGATACAGCGTGTGCAGGTGGAGGTGGAGTCAGACACCTTAAAGCAGACGCTGCGAGACGCCGAGGACCGCAATTCCCAGCTGCAGAATGAAGTGCAACTACTGGAACAGCAGACAGCGCAGCGAGGACAGGCAGCGTCGGAACTACAGCAGGAGAAGGAACAACTGCTACATGAGGTAGGTGTCCATTGTTGCTGATGAAATGTTCCACAGACACCTGGTGTCGTCACTGATTTCCAGTGATCCATGCATATAATTTTCACCTTTTTTTGTGCCTTTTTAACCCAATAAACTCTATGTAGATAGAGACTTAATATTTCCAGACGTTGATGCATTATATCATATCTGCTATCTCTCTGAGGATAACCAAAGGAAGATCCAGGTTAGAATTGGTCTTAAGCAACCCATGCTTGTCGTAAGAGGCAACTTACAGAATTTGGTCAGACTCTGTTGATTCATGTCATCATATCCCGATGGTGTTGATCAATGCTCATGATGTCATTCACTGGATTGTCTAGTATGACTGTTGTCATATAGCTGGAATATTGCTGAGTGCAGCATTAAACAACAAACAAAAAAACCTTTAATAGAGGATGAGGTTTTAACATGTTGAACTGCTGAACCATATGGGCACACCATTTGCTAAAAATAAGTAGACATTACCCAGCTTTCAAACATCCTGAATATGTGGAGATTTGAAAAATATTTAGTGAATCATAGCGCTTGAAATGGTTACAACTAGTGATCCTGTACATGCCAGTGATGTGTTTAAGCAGTATGAAACTTTCGTTGCTCCCTAACTGACCCATTATGCACATGAGAGTAGAATGAGTCCAATTTACTATCTAGAATTCCCCAGAGTTAAAACTGGTCTTGGCAGAATATCATTTAAAAATCATAGTTTCTGGTTCCTGTTTTCTCAATAGTAATGGATTAAACTTCATATGATGAACTACAAATCCTCCTGCAACAATCAGGGGTGGTTGGGTAGCCTAGTGGTTAAAGCATTCACTTGTCATGCTGAAGGCCCGGGTTCGATTCCCTATATGGTGTCCCCTGCCATGATAATGCTGGAATATTGCTAAAAGAGGCATAAAACCATACTCACAAACTTGTCACACAGAAGACCTAGGTTCGATTCCCCACATGGATGCAATGTTTGAAAGAAGTTAATCTCATTAAAATCAGACCTTAGTTCTCGCCACCGCTAAGCAAAGATCTGAAGACATCCCGTTAGGGGTCACGTCAGAACGACCTTTCATCCGACCCATGAGACCGTCGCTTACCAGATCATGAAAGTGACAGTCGGAATGTGATTTCTTATCATACAACCCCGAAAAATTTAAAACGGGGTATTCCGAATGATAGTTACAGGTTTAACAACTGAATCCATACAATCTAGACCATCTATTAGCCATTCCAGAATGTTCTTTTGTTTAGGTTTCAAGTTTGTAATCAGGAATTTGTCGAAGCGTAGTCGGCAATTTGAAATTAGTGCCGTAAAGCACAAGAACGCTGCCTTCTGATAGGTCATTCTGATTGGTCGGTCAAAGTTTGCGCAAGGTCGGTCTGACGTGACCCGTAATGGGATGTCCTCAGATCTTTGTTTAGCGGTAGCGAAAACTAAGGTCTGATTTAATGAGATTGGAAAGCAGTGTAACTCACTCCTGACACAAGCATCGAGTGAAATGAATCTTAAAGCATTATCTATAACATGCACATGTACGTTATGTTGTCATACCATTGGGCACTTCCAGCTTGCAAGTCACCAAAGTAAACACCAGGAGCTGCAGGTGTGCATGGAAGAGAGGCTGGGTGAGATGGAGGCGGAGAAGCAGCGGGCTGTCCAGACGGTCAGACGAGAGACGGAGGCAGAGATGGCTGGTCTCCGGGCCAAGTGTCTCGGCATGTGTGAGAAGCTGGTGTCCGTGCAGACGTCCTTTGATGAGGTGATGGTTGCGTACATCCAGCTTCAGAAGTTGACCAAGCAGTTCCCGACAATGCTGGCAAAGACAGTCGCCCTGCTGAAGGCGGAGGTGAGAGATGAGATCATTTCTACGATGGGCAGACTTTTGTAGGCAGAAATTGTACTTGGTTTAGAATAGTTTCTGTGTATGAAAATTCAACTGATTGTTGCTGTGGATGGACCATATGGTTGTTGGTATATCTCAGATGTTGAAGTCTATCTTTGTTTCCACATCAATATTGATATATCTCACATGGTGAAGTCAAGCCTGGTTTCCACATTGTTGGTATATTGCAGATGGTGAAGTGAACCCTTGTTGCCACATTGTTGGTATGTTGCATATGGTGAAGTCTATCTTTGTTGATATATCTCAGATGGTAAAGTCAACCCTTGTTTCCACATTGTTGTTGGTGTATTGCAGATGGTGAAGGTGATCTTTGTTTCCACATCAGTGTTGGTATGTTGCAGATGGTGAAGTCTGTCTTTGTTTCCACATCAGTGTTGGTATATGTCAGATGGTGAAGGTGATCTTTGTTTCCACATCAGTGTTGGTATGTTGCAGATGGTGAAGTCTGTCTTTGTTTCCACATCAGTGTTGGTATATGTCAGATGGTGAAGGTGATCTTTGTTTCCACATCAGTGTTGGTATGTTGCAGATGGTGAAGTCTGTCTTTGTTTCCACATCAATGTTGCAGATGGTGAAGGTGATCTTTGTTTCCACATCAGTGTTGGTATATTGCAGATGGTGAAGGCTATCTTTGTTTCCACATCAATGTTGGTATGTTGCAGATGGTGAAGGCGATCGAGGCAGTGAGTGAACATAACAAGGAGCTGGTCAAGAAGTACCACCGTGAGATGTCACTGCGGAAGAAATACCACAATGAGCTGGTAGAGCTCAAAGGTAGGCCCAGTATTGCAGCTCATGTTAATCGAGACAAACTTGAACTAAAACAGTGTTTTCATTCCGAAATAAGTGAGGTGAGCTGAAATGGAGGTTAACCTCGCGTCCAAGATTATTGCACTTATGTAACGACGTGCATTCACGTGTGTGTGTGTGTGTGGCTACATGTACTAGTCCAGACCTATGCTGATTTTATAGTGCTAGCCCACTGAATAACCCACTCAGACACAGTATACTTATTCCGAGCCAACTTTTCCGATTTAAGCCATTAATGCCAAACGCTAGGCAGGGTAACAACAATCTTTTGACGTCTTTTGGTATGACACGGCCAGAGATCGAACACCTGACCTCTCCGGGGCAGACGCTCTACTATTTGAGTGAGTGAGTGAGTTTGGTTTAACTATTAGATGACGGAGGCGGTCCCTGAAATAAGTAACCAGACGATATTTATTTTTATTAGGGTGGTTTACATAAACACCAAGTATTCACAGAAACTACAAAACTGCGACAGCTGTGTTTTTCACCACTTCATGACAATGTCAACTTCACACTCACCACAGGCAACATACGGGTGTTCTGCCGAGTTCGACCCTGCATCAAGGAGGATGGACAGCAGAGAGACGTGGTTGTTACATACGACCGTGATGATGATGGCCTCGTCTACGTCGACAACAAGGGGAGGTGTCAGACATTTGAGATGGATCGAGTGTTCACCGACACCAGCACACAGATAGAGGTGAGAAGTAGTACCCTTCAGGTGTTAGACCAATATCCAACTTATTTTACATCCTCAACCTGTCTTGTCCAGAAGAAAGGTTGCTCCTATTATTCTCACCACCACAAGATAGTTACCATTTGAGTAACAAATGGAGATCATCATCATCATCATCATCATCATCATCATCATCATCATCATCCTTCCAGCCTAAGTTTGATTTTCTTCATGGTATCAATGTTTATTATTGTTCCTGAATGCAATACTATCAGTCATGAAGTGAATGCAATCTCATTTAAATCAGATCTTAGTTCTCGCTACTGCTATACAAAGATCTGAGGTCATCCAATTATTGGTCACATCAATCCGACCTTTCACGAACTTCGACCAATGGAATGACAGACAAGAAGTTGACAATAGCCAATCAGAAGGCAGCTTTCTCATGCTTTATGGCACTAGTTTCAAACTCATGACTACGCTTCGAAACATATGTTGACAAATTCTCGATTAAAATTTCAAAAACTGAACAAAAGTACATTCTGGAATTGCTAATGGATGGCCTAGATTGTATGGATTCAGTCATAAAGCCTGTATCTGTCATTCAGACTACCCTCTGTTAACTTTTTCCAGGTTGCATGATTAGAAAACACTTTCTGAATGTCACTTTCCAGATCTGGTTAGCGACGCTGTGATTGGTCGGATGAAAGGTCGGCCTGATGTGACCCGTAACAGGATGTCCAAGTGAATTGTTGAAGCAGTTCTCTTCTGTGTTTCTGTGAGACATGATAAGGGTGTAGTGTGGGATGCCATGAAGTGTCATGTTGATGTTGCAGGTGTTTGAGGAGGTCAAGGCTCTTGTCACCAGCTGTATCGACGGCTTCAACATCTGCATCTTCGCCTACGGTCAAACAGGTTCTGGCAAGACGTACACCATGGAGGTACAACCATTAATCCTACCTTACACATGAATGTGGGATTTTGATAACTGCAACATGTGCATCTGCCAAGATTGATGTTGGGGTACTTGGCTGAACTTAAAACAATAGGGAAACAGAGTTTTGCAAATACTGGTAACATATACCGTATACTCCGTAATCAGTGCCCGGGTCACTTAAATGAACCAAGGGTAGCTCTTATTAAGACCATACACAACAAGCTAAATTAATTTAGCGGTTGAGAATGCATTTAGTTCAAAATGTCAATGTAACATTTCTGATAAGTTACTAGGCAATTATATATCCTTTTTATACTACTGTGTTTTCTGTAATAAATTGTAATAAACACAAGAACATACTGACTCCTGTAAATAAATATGGCAAATACAGTATGGTGAAACCTACTGGCAGCATAAAAATATTATCACTATATATATGTACGTCATGGCAGTTCTGCATTAGACTTGGTCCCCAGCAATCTATCCTGGTGGTGAGAGGGCCTTAATGGATTGGGGGGCTCAGGTTCAGTGACTTGGATAAATGCATGTCATTGTGCCCTACCATGGATTGTTGCTCATGATATCAATCACTGGATCATCTGGTCCAGACTCACTTATTTTCAGTCCATTTTCATAAATATGGAGTGATATATACATATAGCTGAGTGTAGCTTCGAGTTTCCTATAATAAATAATAAAAATCTTAGTTCTTCCCTTGTTTCAATTCCTGGTACTAAATCAAGCAACAAGTATTTTCAATGTTTTAAGTATGTATACAACACAACCAACACTAGGATTCAGAAAGATGTAGCTGTACTGTCTGTTGACTCGATGTCCATGAACATGTGATAAAAGATTTGTTTCAATGCAATTACTGATCCATGTTCAGGGCCCCTCATCAGATCCGGGCATCAACCAGAGGGCGCTGCAGGAGTTGTTCCGGGAGACCAGTGAGAAGGGGCGAGACTGGCAGTTTACCATCACCGTCAGTGTGGTAGAGATCTACAATGAAAACCTCAGGTAGGCCACGAATACTCCAGCTTCAAGAGGGAACGGGTGGCCACATTGTCTAAGATGTCACAATTCATTCTTCAGAGTTGAGTCCCTAAGGCGAGCCAGAATCAGATGATAGTGGGTTCGAATCCCAGATTTGCCCTGATTATGTTTCTAGGTTTGTCAGCACCATACCCTTTTCATGGGTTTCAACAAACTGGTAAACGTCTAAGACCTCCATCACGTTGGCTTTCCCCCCACATTAACCGGAATATTACTGAAATACCGTTCAAAGTGTTGAAGCTTTGGAAAATGTGACAGTTGGTGTCCATCCACTTTTTCTTGACAAACGTGTGCTTTCTGATCTGAATAGATCCCCAGTGCTTTCTGCTTGCCTTAAAAGTCAACTCAAATGACAATCTGGTGGTCACAATGTGTTACCTTGACGACTGTACGAACTGAAATACTGTTCAAAGCCCCATAAAACACAACTCCCACACTATGAATGTCATTGACTAGTTATTGAGTCAAACTATTACCCACACTGCCTGGCCTATGGATGGAAGGGTTTCCACAGGGAGCTGGGTGGTCGGGTAGCCTAGTGGTTAAAGCGTTCGCTCGTCACGCTGAAGACCAGGGTTCGATTCCCGACATCGGTACTATGTGTGAAGGCCATTTGCTTGGCGCTCGGAGATGTCATTAAGGGGATGAGACAAGAATTGGTTGGCTTGGAGTCCATTAGTCACCAGCACAAGCAGCCACACACCCACACACCCACACACCCAACCATTGACACATGCATGCATGTCCCAAAATAGGTGCATTAATCTTGAATGTGATGTTCAATACATCACACCACCGGGGGCACGGGTGGCCCAGTCGTCTAAGGCGCCGCGATTCGCTGTGCAGAGTTGCGTCCCTTGGGCACGCCAGAAACCTATGATTGTGGGTTTGAATCCCGGTTCGCCCCGATTATGTTTCTAGGTTTTTTAGCACCATAGCCGTGCTCGTGGGTTTCGCCGAAGTGGTAAATGTCTGAGACCTGCATCACTTTGGGCTTTCCTCCTCATTAAGCTGACACGCCACGATATAACTGGAATACTGTTAAAAGCGGCGTTAAACCCCACTCACTCACTCACTCACTCACTCACTCACTCATCACACCACCTCATGGAGTAGTAATTGAGTCTAACCGTCCCCACACTGCCCAGCCTACAGATGATGGATGTGTTTTCACAGGGATCTGCTGAACAATGACAACGGCACCAAGCTGGAAGTGAAGATGAACCCAGACGGAGGCTTCCATGTTCCTGGTCTCACACACTACCAGGTGGCCACTGTCCAGGATGTCAACAAGGTGAGTCGGTAAAGGGAGACAACTATCGTCCACGATTTCCGCTTTAACTATAGACTACTTTCACTACTACTGTAGCAGAAGGTCCGGGGTTCGATCACAAGCTGCGTCATACCAAAAGACGTCAGAATATGGTACTTGTTGTTACACTGTCTGGTGTTCGGCATTAAGGGGTTCGGCTTGGAGTCAGTATGCTGTGTCTGAGTGGGGTATTCAAGTTAAACTGTGGCATGGTATCTCAGTGGGCTAGCACTGTAAATTGGTGCGTGTCCCAGTGCGTGACACCTTCGTTACACTCTCAGTAACATGGCTGCCATCAGTATGGGAACGCCATTACAACAATCTTGTAATTTGCCCTCTCACCCAAAATGAAGTAACATTTATACTTTTGTTTATGTCCTTGGGAAGGCCATCATAGTTTACGACCGACCATATTCCTCAGAAGAATTTAACGTTTGTTTGATCAGATTGGTTCAAGATTGCATACGAATGGAAATCACCCAACTCCCCCCTTACATTCTTACTTTACTAATTACATGATAGTTGAAATAGAAATTCAAATTGACAAACAGAGAAAATAATTTAGCTGGGGTAAGAGTATTCGGCATCACAACAGTCATCACTTAAATTGTTTGTAAACATAACAGTCACCAGTTGCAAGTTCAACTCCAAGCATGGTTGTAGCCACCTATCACAGTGGGAAGCTTTGACTGGTGGCAGCGATAGTATAGAGAGCTCCGCGGATGGGCTATCACTGTGAGGAGTTTGCCAGGATCCACTTGTCATCGGTTTTAATCCCAGAATTCCTCTGATAATGATCCTTGGTCTCTCAGCACCCTACCTGTGCTTGTTGGTTCACTGAATGGGTCAGTATCTGCAAGCTGTATTGACTTGGTCTTCCTCTCACATTCAACTGACATATGCAATGACTGAAATACTCTTCAGAGAAGCTTGGAACCAACCTGACGTGGTTCAAAAGTTCTATCAGACCTGATGTTTACACTAATTTGTTCTCGTGCAGGTGTTTGCCATGGGCCAGAGGAACCGTGCCACAGCAACCACCAACATGAATGAACATTCCTCACGATCTCACGCACTGTTGTGTGTCACCATCACCGGTGTCAACAAGACAACCAACACTAAAACTGTCGGTACGTAGAACATCATCAACAACTGACCAGGATTGTAGGCGAAAGAGGGTAAACTCAGTTACCTCCCCTAGTGCAGTCATGAAGGTTATGGACAGCCAAATGTTTTCAAATAAACTTTTGTAGTAATGTTATATTATTACTGCATAACTAGGCTTTCTACAACCATTACATTACATATGTATGCACAATCTGGCCTTAAAGCTACAACAAAATCACAAGTGTTTCAAGTTTAGGCATAAAAAAATAAAAGAATTGGTTCTCAGGCAATGAATTTTGAAAATATAGTGCGGGCGGGTGGTGTTTTTTTTTGCTAATTCAAACTAGTATGTAACCAAATAAACAGTTCTGTACCATCAGCCTGGAAAAGGGTCCCTACATCAACAAGCATACAAACTCCTATTGCGGCCATGGGGCCAGTCAGGTAGCCTAGTGGTTAAAGCGTTCGCTCGTTACGCTGAAGACCCGGGTTTGATTCCCGACATGGGTACCATGTGTGAAGCCCCCGCCGTGATATTGCTCGAATATTGCTAAAAGCAGCGTAAAACCAAACTCACTCACTCACTTTTGCGGCCATGACCATATCTCGAGATGTGCAGTAAAACAGTGCACATGTAAAGGGAAGTAACTCTGTGCTGTATTGGATTGCATTGTTTTTAAGTATTCAGGTTTTTTGTTTTTGTTTGAAAATGGAAATAATAACAAAGCATGCGGTGGACTTTATGATGATGCGGGCGGTACCTGAGAACCAAGACTTTTTTTTATCCTTAGCCAGTTCTATTTCTGAGTACAGGAATTAAAGCTTAACACACCAATCCAAGTTCTGCACCAAATGTAACCTACTTGAAAATATCTGTGATCCCATTCTGTGTGTTCATCGACATATGAGTGCAATAATCTTGATAACAATGTTGTACCCCATGCATTCCACTTTACCTGACTGTCCTCCAGGCAAGCTGAACCTGGTTGACCTGGCCGGGTCTGAGCGGGTTAGCAAATCAGGAGCAGACGGAGCACGTCTCAAGGAGGCCCAGAACATCAACAAGTCTCTCTCCTGTCTGGGAGATGTCATCCATGCTCTGCGCAGCAAGCAGAACCATGTTCCGTATCGCAACTCGCGGTTGACGTACCTCCTCCAGGACTCACTGGGTAAGATTGGGGGCTGCCTGCTAGGTAAGACATGCATGTTCACTGAGACCACCAGAGACTAACTGATCGTTTTGTTCATTGTTCATTTCAAATTCAAAATATTATAGCAAGATTTTGACCAAACCTTAAATTTTAGTTTATCCTTTCATTTGTTAGTTTGTTTGGGTTATCGGCTTTACAAAATGTGTATGAGCTCAAAACGGACTGACTGTTTAATCTTGGGGGTGAAGCAAGGACATTTTTATCAAATGAAATTTCCCAAAAAGTACCAGGAAAAAATAATTTTGCTTCAGGTTTAAGCACAAAAATAACCTTGTTTGCAGTATATTTTGGATTTCTGAAAAAAATTGTTTTCTTAAATTACAATTGTTTGCCCTTCCTGAACAATAATATTTTATCTAAACATAAAACTCCCAGCCAAATATTAACTGGTCGGTTCCTTAGCTGCAAATGGTAATGAACTCTGCAGATAAATAATGAACAAAACAATTTAGACCAACATTAGAAAGTGAGTATGCATGTCCTAACATTTTGCATGAGATGCCATAAAGAGATACTTCACTCCACTGTCTTTGTTCCCGTAATTTCCTTCATTTGTTCCCATATGAACGACCTATAATTTCCTTCATCTTGTCTTGCGTAAAGCCCATATTTGTGGTGCTTAGGACTATTGTGTATTATTGTATCTTGTATCTTATAATGGTGTATTATTGTATCTTGTATTATTTTTTTTTAAATGATATTACTTTTCTATTCCATGGCTTACCAGATTTAATGTCCACTTATGAAGTTTTAAGCAACTAAGCATCCCCTTTAGCCCAAAATGAACTAACAGCCAACAAAATTGTGTATAAAATGTCACAATAGCTGCTGTGATGAAATATTTCTTAGATATTTACCTGCTGTCCTCTTTCCTGGGTAGTAGTGCTCACAGCTCTCTTATCACAGATATATTTTTACAAATTGTGGGGTGGGATTTAAATTGTGAGATGACCACATTTACTCAACCAGCCAAAATAGGTGGTCGGCTAGTCCTTCAAGATGGGTCGATACCCGTGACACGACAATAATCTAGTCGCTTGGTCAAGAAAACATTTTCTCACCTATTTTGATCTTGTGAACCGCTCCCTTTGTGTCTGAGTTCCTCCTCATTCGGGGGGCGGTCGGGTAGCCTTGTGGTTAAAGCGTTCGCTCATCACGCCGAAGACCCAGGTTCGATTCCCGACATGGGTACAATGTGTGAAGCCCATTTCTGGTGTCCCCCGCCATGATATTGCTGGACAATTGCTAAAAGCGGCGTAAAACCATATTCACTCACTCACTCCTCCTCATGCGGAGCACATGTTGGTTGCAGGGGGTGACAGCAAGACGCTGATGATCGTCCAGGTGGCGCCAGTGGAACGCAATGTCAGCGAGACCACTTGCAGTCTGAACTTCGCTCAGCGTGTCCGGTCTGTGGAGCTTGGTGCTGCCTCCAAGAGGATTGAGTCAAACACAGACCATAATGAGGTGAAGAGACCGCGCTTCGCGCTGTAGTACGTGGTATGAACAATGACAGGAACTTCTACACTTGTTCCTTATTTTCACATATTTGTTGAACTTCTTTGAAATTTCTTATATGAATAGTCTTTTCGGGATGAGTAGTTAAAGTATATGAGGATGGAATGTGTTCTATCTTGCCTTGTGTTGTGTGGCAGTACAGATTGTTGTAAGTTCATTTGTAGCGATTGTCAGTGGTCGCAAATGATTGAAGTGCCAGTAAAATGTTGAGTGCAGTGAGTGAGTGGAATTTCAAGTTACTGCCGCTGGTGGATTACGAACGTGGCAGGCCTCAAATTGCGCTGTTGTCGCTCATATACAGGTACAGCTACCCGTCTGTTCGATTCCAAAACTTCTCACATGATGAAGTGTGTTTTGTTTATAAACAACCAGTAACTATAAATTCCACGCACTCACTGCCAACAACAGAACTCTGCATTTTACCAGTGCTTCAATCATTTGCTGCCTCTGACTAATCACTGCAAATAACAATCTCTACTGTCACATAACTGATGCTTGTCAACAAGTTAAATGGTAGAGTCCGATAGTGAAGAGGAAGGATTACTTGTGTCATCCCAAACTTTATTTAACATTCTGACAGGTTAAGAAAATATCTTCTTGATACAGCTGATAGGTTGGCTGGCAGTGGTTAACATGTGCTATATATCATCCCGTTAGTTTAAACTGGGGTGAATGGCGCCATGATTATGGAGCCTTATTTATCATTCACTTCAGTTGAAAAGTTATCTATATCTTATTGCAGAAGCGAAGACGAATGCATCAAAGATTCAAATAAGTAAGAATGTTCTCATTAACCCCACATTTGTTATTTTGTTATGTCACTAGTTCAAACAAATCTAACTGTTGGCTATTTGACCACGACCTGTCCTCCCCATTACAGAATGGACTTTCCTCACCTCTGCCCAGTCCACGGAGCAGTCCATCTTCCCCTCGCACTCACACACCGGGTAAATCCACCCCTGGGAAACTCGCGTCTACCTTCGGCAAGATCAACACTCCAGTAGCCAATGGCAAGCCAGGAACGCCTACATCATCACGAACTCCAGGACAAATGTCAAGGACGCCGTTGTCACGACAACTTAGCAAGAAAGCAAAATAATTGACAAATTCCAAACTTTTGGAATTCTTTAGCATCACAGTTATATAAAATATCAGGTTTTAGGTCTGTTGACTATAGACCAGCCCTACTTTGTTCACCTGTTTCTAACTCTTCAAGTTCATTTTGCAGACTGTATATTTGTCCAGTGTAGCATAGTTACGAGGAAACAGAAAAGCCAAACACAATGAGAGATGTATATTTTGTTAATATTTGTATATATTTAGTCATACTGGAGTTTTAGTTGTTTAGTTCACATCATTATGGTTGACATATCATGTAAATTCTATATCACCGCTGTACCATTGACTTCCCCCATCACACTTGTTGTTAATTCTGTTTTCTTTTTCATTTCATTTGATTCATGTTGTTTGTTTTTATTCCTATGTTACAAACTAATCATAACATCAAGGTGCTTTCTCACGTACAGAAATCAACTTTAGCATAACAAACAACAACTGTCTCTTGTAGTCAGAAATTGTAGTTAGAGTTATCTCCCTTGTACTGAGTATACAAGCAGTCCCGTGTGTAACTTGTGTTGTCAAAAGTTAGCCTGATACTATTCTCCTTTCAGGTATTTAAAAGACATGGAACAAGATTTATAAATAAATTTGATTATTTCTTCTCATGACCTTTGAAATGGAATTACAACAGTTTGTAACATATTTTGAGTACTTTGTTTGTTTAAACAACTCGGGCACTGAACATTGAAGTCAAGCATTTGTTATGTTTTGAATTAAGTTGACAATTTGATATACAACTTGTAACATGAATTGTCAACAATATGTAAGGCTTAAAAAAATAAAAGTATTGGTTCTCAGGCAATGACTTTTGAAAATATAGTGCGGGCGGGCAGTGTTTTTTGGGGGGGGTTTTCTTGTTGAAACTAATACGTGCCCAAATAAACAGTTGTGTACCAACAACCTGGGAAAGGGCCACCCTAAATAAATACGCCTACAAACTCCTATTGCTTCAATGACCAAAACACGTGATGCACAATAAAGCAGTATGCATGTAAAGGGAAGTAACTGCATTCTATATTGGATCGCATTGTTTTCAAGTATTAGGATATTTTTTTGATTTTTTTTAAAATGGAAATAAAAACCAAACGTGCAGCAGACTTTATTATGATTCGGCGGTACCTGAGGACTAAGACTCTCTTTTTTTTGCGTAAGAAGATATGAACATGGTTCATGATTGTAATGTAAATCTTAAACAGTGTGTAAACTATAGTGAAAATACTGCAGTGTACATAAGTTGTGGCCAGTGGACTACAGACTGGGTCAGATTGTACTGAACTGAGCTATACATGTTGATATTGCACACAACTATAAAAGGAGGAGAAACCAGGTGAGTCGGTGTCAATATGGCGGCTGGCATGGCTTCTCATACTTCTCCCAAACCCGGTCCTGCTTCGCGAGACCACACCCCTTCACGATGTCTTGAATTCTCAAGTCATCACAGGTTCAGTTATTTTTGACTCAGACTGTAGTTAAACAATTCAGTACAGTTATTTTCAGTGATATCATAATGTAACTACTAATAGTCCTTATGTAGATTTGCGGATTTGTGACACTATTAATTTTATCAGGCAGTTTAACATGTTTATCCGCAAAGAAATATTTCAACATTCAATTTTCTTCTCATAAGGGTTTGTTCATTATTTAGATTTGTCCAAGTTTCAATATCATAAATTCAGCTTTAACAATTCAGCTGTAAGAACACAAAAGACAGTGTGCAGTGTTTTCAAGTGTGACTGCAGCGTTAGTGTATTGATTAAGTGTATGGTGGTTGTCTTATGTCATTGGTTCAGTTTCACTAACATCCAAGGGAAGGTGCCCCATTACGCACTGTCAGTTAGAACTTTACCCTAGCCAGTTTGGTTCACTTTGGTTTAACCGACAACCAATCAGATACCTTGTTACAGACACACAACAGCCTACTTGTTTGCCCAAGATGGAGGCATGGGTGGAGGCCCTGTTTGAAAGCCAGCAGCTCTCGATCAGTAATCTGGTGCAAATTCCGTTTAGTCATGACCCGTTTCCAGTTTTTTTATATACATTTAGAACACCAGGAACAAGGGAAAAATATAATCAGTATTGTATCACAAACACACACATCTAGCACTGATTTGTCAGGTCCAGACTCGGTTGTATACAGACCTCTGTCATATGGCTGGAATATTGCTGAGTGTGAGGTAAAGCAACAGCATAATGGAAGGTATATTCTGTAATGTTAGTGTGTCAATTGCTATAATCTGATTGGTTGTTGGTTGTCCTTCCGTCCTGATTTCGTTTGTTTCGTAGCTCTGCTATCTGGAGCCTGGTGTTGGGTAGGCTTCTTAAACACCACGGTCACTGTCGTTGTCGACGTACGGTCGTCAGATCCCCTGTCTAAACATCCCCCATGGACTCTTGGTTCCATGTGGTTCCTCTTGGCATTACTCCAACATGCCTGCCTACTGGGAACAAGGATCACCAGGGCACCATTCCACAAAGCGATCTTAGCGCTACGACTATCGTAAGCCAGTGTTACGATCACCTTAGCACTAAGATGGCTTTGTGGAACATGGCCCAGGGCCCTGTTCCACAAAGCCATCTCTCAATGTTAAGGTGATCGTAACTCCCATACTTTAACACTGGCTTACGATAATCTTAGCGCTAAGATCGCTTCGTGGAACGGTGCCCAGGTGCCATGTTTCTGTAATACTTCCCTGATACCCACAAGCTTTACATTCTTTTAGAATTTTTCTTTAACAGTTCCATGTGGGTTGAATTGTGTCTAAAATGGTCAGAAAATCAAATATTACATGAAAACAACATAGTCCAGCTGTATACATGTCAGAAAAATCATTTTTATATCTCGGCTTCATTCTTCAAATCCAAGTTAAACATGACAGGAAAGTTTAATGTCATTAGTCCCAGGCACTTGTTTTAGTTGGTAATGAGTTTCATTAGTCCATTAGCAAAATCTGCTGCTATGCATGTTGCAGCTCATATATGTTGTGTCACACTTGAAAACATTTCACTTACCTTTTACATCTGTGATAATACTTTCATGAGCACTGTTCTAAAGAAGCTCTCGTCTTTAGGCATAGAAAGAACATCATTTCTTCACATTGATTAGCAATTAGTACTTAAATCTATGCATTTAGATTATTAAGGAAGTGTCCTTCTGAAGAGTTGCTTGTTTGTCATTATGTTTATTACATGGCATATATTAAGAACACAAGGCCAATTTGAACTGCCACAAATTTTGCCTCAAAATATTGGTTGTGGAGTTATTTCCCTTTGACCAGGGGCTACTGAAGAAATTACGCCAGTTTTGTCCATGACTGTTTGTACATTAGAGTGAAAGGATATTATCATCCATAAATGTGCCCAATGAAATTATGAATACATGTGGATATTCAAGGAAGGATTTTATATATAAAAAATGACACTCTTTGCATTTATGAAACGACACGCTGCAAACACTTTTCATAATGAATCACTCAAAACACAGTCATATATCAGTACTGAATGTTGATATTCAATTTAACAGAATTATAATTGGTGGGTTTTTTTAACATAAATGCATTTTGAAAAATTTAAATTAGCCTTTCCATCATCCTGATTTCCCTTGATCATCAAGTGAGCATGCATCTCACATGCAAGGATGATATTAACAAATACTCCCTGTATTTGGCTGTACGTAGTGTTAGTATCTCAGGTCCTCCATGTCCATAACTACATTGTTGTACAACTTTACATGACAGTGTTATAAGCAATATATACCACTCCAAAAAAGCAAAGTACATGTAGCGATAAGTTGTGGATTTTTCCATTTTTTATCTCTACTTTGTCATTCATCGACTTCTAAGTAATGCCTATCAAACAATTCACTCCCAAAAAGTTATGGACCACCCAATTCTTTCATATTACTGTCATATTATTTGTCATGAAGGAGAAGAGTCACTGCATTGTGGTTCTGTATATAACTATGACAATTGTAAACATTACCTGAATCAAAACAGTTATTAAATAAACATTTTCCAAAATGTTGTGCCTCACTAAAATATCAAAATTATTCCAAATATGAATTTTAAAAGTGTCTCATCATTTACCATATCATTCTTGTCCATGTTGTCAGAATAGAATCAAAATAACTGTCTCAAAATGTTTTAATTTTTTTTGTACAATATCACTTGTCTATTCTATACAGGGACTAACGTTTGATGTACAATGTGTATATTACTGACATGTCAAGTATATTCAACAGCTGGGGTGACACTTTTTTTGTATTAAGTTGTTTACAGATTCCTTCAACAATAAAATAATGAAAAGTGGGGAATTGGGGAACAATACATAAAGTTACATGCTCACAACAAAAGAATTGTACATACGATAGATTAAAAAGCAAGACCCGTGTTAACTAACACTGCTTAAGTGGCAACATTGTCAGTTTTGAAGAACAAAAAACAACTGAAGTGTCTTATCTATTGAAAACTATTCCCCTCCTACCAACCAGGAAAAACATCTGTAAACCACAAAAAATATGTCTGGCCTTATGCCTGCGTTGTCCAGCTTCATAAAGCCGCTATACCTATAGCAAAGCATATTCTGGCATGGTCGCTGTACTGTAGCAGCCAAGTATTACTTGCTACATGGAAATAAAATAAATCACATGAAAGAGACTTTTGTTGTCTGTTTTGTTGGGTAAATATACTGAGATAAGTGGATACTTTGTCCCAACTCTGTCCTTTATTAATCAGGAGGTCACAGGTGGGCCAGACGTCTGAGGCAAGGGTGGTCGGCTCGCTGACTTGGTTGATGCGTGTCATCGTATCCAAATTTGTAGATTGATGCTCATGATATCAGTCAGTGGCCTGGATTGTCTGGTCCAGACTTGATTATATATAGATTGTCATGTAGATGGAATATTGTTGCATGCGGCTTTAAACAACAAACACAATTCACTTTGCAGAGTTGTGTCCCTTAAGTGTGCCAGAAACCTGTGATTGTGGGTTCAAATCCCAGATTTGCCCTGATTGTGTCTCTAGGTTTGTCAGCACCAGATTTATAAACATGTAAAACCTTCATTACGGAAGGATTACGCGAAAGGCCCAGGGTTCGATCCCCGGTCGCATCAAAGATGGTATTTGTTGTTACCCCATCTGGCACTCAGCATTAAGGGTCTAAAACAAGGACTGGTCAGCTTGGAATCCGTATAATGTGTCTGAGTGGGGGTATTCATGTTAAACTGCAGCCTGGTATCTCAGTGAGTTAGCACTATAAATAGGCATCAGTACGAGAGAGCACTCACTCACACACACGCACCCACGCACCCACGCACCCACGCACCCACGCACGCAAGCACGCACGTTGCTATATAAGTGCAATAATTTTGGACACGACGTTAAACCCCATTTCACCTCACACCTTACATGCTGGAATTGTTCCAAACTCACGAGTTATTTTCTTTATGTAGCATAATAAATATCAAATCAACACTAAACCAAACTTACGGTACTAATTTGTCTGACATTTAAAACTTGATAACTGGAATCATTTACGTAGAAAATCAGAAGAAGTAGAACATTTGTTTTCTTCCCGGAGGCATTTTATTTTCTTTGTGTTGTAATTTTGACTCATGGTTGTGTGTTAATTTTGAATGTAGTGATAAAAGAACCCCTGCTGAATAAGTGGTGGTCTAGATACTGGCAATCCAGACAAGAAGATAATTCTGGCACAGTTTCTTGAGCTGCCACAGAGCGTTGACCGTGTTCGTTGAAACGATACTGGATGGTACTTTCATGATTTTATGGATCAGCATACAATATGGTTGAGAAAAACTTTGTTTATCCAACTTAATGGAAATTTTCCCTCTTGAATGAATTCGTTATTGACAAAATTGAAAGAAAACACATTTGAAACACTGTACAACTTCCTGAATAGGGAGAAGATCTATGTCAATCTTCAACATATCTTTTTTTCTATTTTGACTTCCCCTTTTTTTTTATTGAATATGCAAATCAAAAAATGTTTTTGTCCTGCATGAAATTCCAAGTTGCAGTGCAAGGAACTGTGATTGTTGTATTCCCCGAACATACATGGTGAAAGGCAATGGACTTGTAGAAATGTCAAGTTCAGAAAGGTGTTTTACAAGGACGCGGAGCTTAAAGAAGTTGATTTCTACCACAGAGTAATCTATTACTGTAACTGAGTTATTAAGCAAAAGCTTAATGTGTTTGCTTGAGTTTGAGCTCCGCCACCACAATTGGTTTTGTCAACCACTGACTTATGAGAGATGTTAGAGACTTCATACCTGATATACCTCTTATATACCATTGGGGGATTTGCCTTACATATGATTCGATTCCATTCTAGGTCAATCAGTATGAACCTAGGTGCCATAAATCATTATCTCTAAGGCAGGGTCTTCATGCCTCAAGTTTTGGGTGACCAATATTATGGCAAGCTGTTTTCACATTTATTACGGAATTAGATATCTTCAATCGTTTTAAAGATATCAGTATTTTATTTAAAGATATCAATAATGTTTTTAAGATATCAATAAAAATTTTAAGATATCAGAAATTCTTTTCAAGATATCAGTAATATGCTTCACCATATCCTTAATTCATTTCGTGATATCTTAAATTTTATTGCAGATATCTACAATTATCTGCATTTAAGATATCTTCAATTCCTTTTAAGATATCTTCAATTCATTTCAAGAAATATTAAAAAAAATTGAAGATATCTGTAATTCCGTAATAAATGTGAAAACGGCTTGCCATACAATATGAGGTCAAGGTCAAAGGAGGTCAACTTAGGAAGTATGGTTCAAGTTTTGTGAAATTTCAGATAAATTCATGAAAAATTGAAGCATTTCCAATCACTTATGATAGACTCTAAATAATTATCACAATACCTGCAGGACGTCATTTTTGTGTCAAATGTCAAGTTCACTTTGAAGGTCATTCACTCTTGTAATGACTTGTAAATATACTTCTCCAAAGAAGGTAAACGAACACCCAATTTTTTTATATGACTATAGTAAATCTGCCATGGCTGGTGGGTATTGCAACACAAAGCCTTCCAATTGTGGATGTTCTTTAACTTGTTTTGAGTAGTATAGTTTCATTCAGGAAGTAATGTTAGCATGGTCCAGAGACTTCATATTTGTAACACCAGCTAAGTTTGCAACAAGTAATGATCTCTTATGTGACTGGATGATGATTGTGAATGGAGGTCAGTGTTTGAAATAGATGCCTGCGAAGATTGTGTAGACAATATCTTCAGCATTTATGATCAGAATTTGATTAAACTTTACGTGCATGATCTATGAGCAAGTTATGACTGAGATTGAAGGTCAAGGTAATTAAACCGGAAGAGTTTAAACTTTAAGGTGGCTAGAGGCATAGGACTTTCAGTTCGAAAGTTGTACTTCATATTTGGGAATGTGTTTTCCTGAAAATTTGAGTCATTTCATTCAACCTGAAGTACTTATAGATTTGCAAATCCAAAAGATTTTTTGTCCTGCATGAAATCCACAGTTGCAGCTGTTATTAGGGTGGCTACAGGCATAGGTTTTAGTTGCACTGCATTTGACAACATAAGATGAAAATTTGATAGAATTTCTTGAGGCCATCTGTATTCTGATTTGTAAAGTCTAACCGGTTCATGTTATATGTGGGCGGTCGGGTAGCCTAGTGGTTAAAGCGTTTGCTCGTCAGGCCGAAGACCCGGGTACGATTCCCGACATGGGTACCATGTGTGGAGCCTATTTTTGGTGTCCCCTGCCGTGATATTGCTGAAATATTGCTAAAAGCGGCGTTAAACCATACTCACTCACTCATGTTATATGTTCCTGATGGCAAAGCGTGGAGGACTTCATGAAGAAACCTGTAAATAACAACCAGCTTGTCGTTGTTGAGAGGTTGTTTGAATATGAAAGTGCAATGCACTTACACAAGTTAGTGTACTATATGTTGTTCCTGAGAAAACGCACAAAGTTGAAGGAAGAATATATTCTATTACGAATAATGATATGAAACCGATCAAATACAATGAAAAATGTGAAAATAGCACTAAGTACCCTATATTTCCAATATTTCCCTTTTACAATAAGGGGCAATATTTACGATATTAACCCTTAAGGTAAAAAAAATAATTTTTACAAAAAGGGTTGTGGGTTGTTACTCTTAATGCAAAAATGAGGGGACATGGGAGGCGCAGTCGTCTAAGGCGCCACATTTCCCTGTGCGGAATTGCATCCCTTGGACATGCCAGAAACTTATGATTGTGGGTTCGAATCCCGGTTAGCCCCGGTTATGTTTCTAGTTTTGTCAGCACCATACCCGTGCTCGTGGGTTTCACCGAAGTGGTAAACGTCTGAGACCTGCATCACTTCAGGCTTTACTCCCACATGAAGCTGACACGCCATGATATAACTGGAATACTGTTAAAAGCGGCGTTAAACTTGGGCTGGTCTCGATCACCAATTCAAAATACATTGATAAGCCATATCAGCACGGCAGGGGGTGTAATACGGGTCTGGTTTTGTGACCCCCTGAGATATGAAGGTCTCCATGTTGGGTCTATCACACATGCAAAATACCTCATATCATTGATGTGTATATGATAATAGAAAGTTATTACACATGATCATTCTACCCTGATGGGTAATAAATATTACACAAACAGCCTGGTAAAACATTCTATTCTTCATTGCCTCATGTAATCGAGTCTTATGACAACAAGACCGCCTCCGTGGTCTTGTGGTAGAGTGTCCTCCTGGAGAGCGGACGGTTGCATCATGCCAAAAGACGTTAAAAGATGGTACTTGTTGTTACCCTGTCTCGCGCTCGGCATTATGGGGTTAAAACAAGGACTGGTCGGCTCGTAGTCTGTATACTGTGTCTGAGTGGGGTATTCAAGATAAACTCCGGCATGGTATCTCAGTGAGCTAGCACTATAAATCAGCATCAGTCCGGACAAGTACAAGCAGCCACATACACGTGCATGCGTATCTCTATATAAGTGCAATAATCTTGAACGCGATGTTAAACCCAATTTCACCTCACCTCTTATGACAATAACAACAATAATATTATTTACACTTGTATAGGGCATCTTCCAAACATAGTTTGCCCTATAGGCTGAGTCATGTGCAGTGGTGGTGACCACTAATCAACAAGGCTGAGAACTGCAGAACTATGTGTGTGAGATTCAATATTGGAACATCTGAGGCCCTGTCCCCATGACACCCACACCGACATCAAGCAAACACTGTTACTGTTAAGTTCAGGAATGGCTACTTTGGATTCAGTTTAAACAAGAGGTCAGTTGATGAAGACATTATTTGTCAGTACAGTCAAGGGGTACCTGAGACCTGTCTGTACCAAATTCTGATGGGCCGAAAAAACTGGTGTTTGTGATGAAAGATAAAGTCCGAGCCAAGTACATCTCCATTGTCATACATGTAAAATTTATACAATCTGTGGACTGTATGCAGTTCTGGTCTGAAGAGTATAATGTATTTGGCACACAGTAACAATGTTTGTTATAGCACATGGTGACCAGATCACTTCCATGGTATAGTGGATAGAGACTCTGCCCCGAGAGTGGAAGGTTGGTGGGTCAATCCCTGTCCACATCATACCAAAAGAATGTTAAAAGATGGTACTGGTTGTTACCCCACCTGGTGCTCAGCATTAAAACAAGGACTTGTTGTCTGACTTGTGTCTCAGTGAGGTAATATCCTAGTGGATCGGAGAACGATCCCCATGTGCGTCATACCAAAAGATGGTACTTGATGTTACCCTGTTTGGAGCTTAGCCTGAAGGGGATAAAGCAAGGATTGGCCTGATCAGAGTCCGTGGGGTATCCATGTTAAACTGTCACATGGTATCTTGTTGGGCTAGCACTACAGAACCAGCATTAGTCCGGACTTGTACGAGCAGACGCACACACGCATGCACGCACCACACACACATCGCTATGTAAGTGCATTAATCTTCAACGGGACGATAAACCCCATTTCTCCTCACCTAATGTCTGACGCTCATGAGGGGCCTCCTACAGACACAGCTGGACCAATGAATAACTCCCTAACCAGACACCTGACAGTTATATGTGACAGCTATCCTAGCCAGGTCCCCACAAACTGCTGGCTCACCTCTACTGTAGCTCTGTGCAGCTGGTGTCAAGCATCCTACAATGATGCAGAGCTCTATCATCTTTGTATGTTATGTCAGGATATACAGTTTTAGAATTACACCCACAGGGGTTCTGGGGCAGAATTGGTCCAGTATCTCTTCATTACACGGTATTGTATGAGCAGGATAACATTTTTCATTGTAGCTTTTTCAGTGATCTAGCCTCTTTGGCTTTGTGCAAGTGGATGGCAATAGCAGCCAAAGCTTAAGAACATGATTGTAGTGTTTAGATTATTTTTTGCATGTGGGCCCAGGTGGTTGTAATGTGGGATTTGGCAAAATGTTAGTGACATTGTACCCCAGTGGCTGAGATAGTTGCACATGCTGTCAGCCCCTGCTTGGCCTGACCCGGTTTGGCCTCACCCTGCTTGGCCTCACCCTGCTAGGCCCGACCCGGCTTGACCTGACCCTGCTAGGCCCGACCCGGCTTGACCACACCCAGCTCGGGTTGACCCTGCTTGGCCTCACCCTGCTTGGCCTGACACAGCTTGGCCTGACACAGCTTGGCCTGACACAGCTTTGCCTCACCCTGCTTGGCCTCACTCTGCTTGGCCTGACCCAGCTTGGCCTGACCCGGCTTGACCTCACCCTGCTTGGGCCCACCCTGCTTGGTCTCACTCTGCTTGGTCTCACCCTGCTTGGCCTCACCCTGCTTGGCCTCACCCTGCTTGGCCTCACCCTGCTTGGGCTCACCCTGCTTGGCCTCACCGTGGTTGGGATGACCCTGGTTGGCCTCACCCTGCTTGGCCTCACCCTGCTTGGGCTCACCCTGCTTGACCTCACTCTGCTTGGCCTGACCCTGCTTGGCCTCACCCTGCTTGGGCTCACCCTGCTTGGACTCACCGTGGTTGGGATGACCCTGGTTGGCCTCACCCTGCTTGGCCTCACCCTGCTTGGGCTCACCCTGCTTGGCCTCACTCTGCTTGGCCTGACCCAGCTTGGCCTGACCCGGCTTGACCTCACCCTGCTTGGGCTCACCCTGCTTGGCCTCACCCTGCTTGGGCTCACCCTGCTTGGCCTCACCGTTGTTGGGATGACCCTGGTTGGCCTCACCCGGCTTGACCTCACCCTGCTTGGGCTCACCCTGCTTGGCCTCACCCTGCTTGGCCTCACCCTGCTTGGGCTCACCCTGCTTGGGCTCACCCTGCTTGGCCTCACCCTGCTTGGCCTCACCCTGCTTGGCCTTACCCTGCTTGGTCTCACCCTGCTTGGCATCACCCTGCTGGCCTCACCCTGCTTGGCCTCACCCTGCTTGGGCTCACCCTGCTTGGCCTCACCCTGCTTGGCCTCACCCTGCTTGGCCTCACCCTGCTTGGCCTCACCCTGCTTGGCCTCACCCTGCTTGGGCTCACCCTGCTTTGCCTCACCCTGCTTGGCCTCACTCTGCTTGGCCTGACCCAGCTTGGCCTGACCCGGCTTGACCTCACCCTGCTTGGGCTCACCCTGCTTGGCCTCACCCTGCTTGGGCTTACCCTGCTTGGCCTCACCCTGCTTGGTCTCACCCTGCTTGGCCTGACCCTGCTGGCCTGACCCTGCTTGGGCTCACCCTGCTTGGGCTCACCCTGCTTGGCCTCACCCTACTTGGTCTCACCCTGCTTGGCCTCACCCTGCTGGCCTCACCCTGCTTGGCCTCACCCTGCTTGGCCTCACCCTGCTTGGGCTCACCCTGCTTGGCCTCACCCTGCTAGGCCTCACCCTGATAGGCCCGACCTGGCTTGACCTGACCCTGCTAGGCCCGACCCGGCTTGACCACACCAAGCTTGGGTTGACCCTGCTTGGTCTCACCCTGCTTGGCCTGACACGGCTTTGCCTCACCCTGCTGGCCTGACCCTGCTTGGCCTGACACGGCTTTGCCTCACCCTGCTGGCCTCACCCTGCTTGACCTAACCCGGGTTGGCCTGCCCCTGCTTGGTCTGACCCTTATTCTACAGACTGCTAAGATATAGCTGAAATGTTGCTGACTGTTTATGTAACAGGATGAAGTTTTAAAATTCAAACTAAATTGAGTGAACCTACCAATAACATGTGGTACCTGCATCACTTCGGGCTTCTCTCACATCAAGCTGACATGCCTTGATATCACTGGAATACTGTTCAAAGCGGATTTAAACTACTAACTTGTCAGCACCATACCTGTGCTCGTTGGTTTCACCAAAGTTGTAAACGTCTAGGACCTGCATCACTTCGGGCTTTCCTTCCACATTAAGGGTGTGATTTAACTGGAAAAGTGTTCAAAGCAGCATTAAGCCCAACTCACTCACTCACTCACTCACTCACTCACTCACTCACTCACTCACTCACTCACTCACTCACTCACTCACTCACTCACTCACTCACTCACTCACTCTCACTCACTCACTCACTCACTCACTCACTCACTCACTCACTCACTCACTCACTCACTCACTCACTCACTCACTCACTCACTCACTCACTCACTCACTCACTCACTCACTCACTCACTCACTCACTCACTCACTCACTCACTCACTCACTCACTCACTCACTCACTCACTCACTCACTCACTCACTCACTCACTCACTCACTCACTCACTCACTCACTCACTCACTCACTCACTCACTCACTCACTCACTCACTCACTCACTCACTCACTCACTCACTCACTCACTCACTCACTCACTCACTCACTCACTCACTCACTCACTCACTCACTCACTCACTCACTCACTCACTCACTCACTCACTCACTCACTCACTCACTCACTCACTCACTCACTCACTCACTCACTCACTCACTCACTCACTCACTCACTCACTCACTCACTCACTCACTCACTCACTCACTCACTCACTCACTCACCTGGGCCATGTTCACAAAGTGAGTGCCGTGACTCCAACACTTTAACATAGACTGTGATCACTAAATACCCAATTTAATTACCTTAATGCCTCAATAGCCCCATTTTCATTTCCTGATACAAAGTAACAGCATATTTCACTTCATGGCATGTGACTAGATAATATGATTACAGCCTATTGCTGATAACAGACCCCCTAACGTATCCAGATGCACTGCTCTTCCCAAAATGAAAAAAAAGAGAAGTTGCATGCTGAAACCATTTTGCCCTTTTCACATTTTCTTCAGTCTTTATTTATCGTCTTTCATGTGTAATGTTACAAAAATCAAAAGATATTTCTTTTCAAACCATGTCTGTAGGACATGATAGGATTCTAATTGGCTGGTGTAAGTGGATTCTAATTGGTGTGGATAAGTTTTTAAATTTCATGGCATCTGTCAACATGTCTGCATGTTGGAGATATGGTGAGATTAGATTGATGGAGCTACCTCCCACATGCTGCAGAGAGTGGCCGAGTGGGTGGCTGTGCATGGCATTAGGCATGCATTATTGAAATGTTTCATCACAATATGAAAATATATCTTAGTCCATAAAAAAAATATTTATTAGATATCCATCCTACCTGCAGTCAGTCAGTCAGCCATCATTTTATTGTCCTCAAGTATTTATGGATGAAGAAATGTTAAAAGATGGTACTTGTTGTTACCCTGCCTGGTGGTCAGCCTTAAGGGGCTCAAACAAGGACTGGTCGGCTCAGAGTCAGTATACTGTGTCTGAGTGGGGTATCCATGTTAAACTGCGGCATGGTGTCTCAGTGGGATCTCGGGGTCAGTATACTGTGTCTGAGTGGGGTATCCATGTTTAACTGCGGCATGGCGTCTCAGTGTGATCTCGGAGTCAGTATACTATGTCTCAGTGGGGTATCCATGTTAAACTGCGGCATGGTGTCTCAGTGGGATCTCGGGGTCAGTATACTGTGTCTGAGTGGGGTATCCATGTTTAACTGCGGCATGGTGTCTCAGTGGGATCTCGGAGTCAGTAAACTGTGTCTCAGTGGGGTATCTATGTTAACCTGCGACATGGTGTCTTAGTGGGATCTCGGAGTCAGTATACTGTGTCTGAGTGGGGTATCCATGTTTAACTGCGACATGGTGTCTCAGTGGGATCTCGGAGTCAGTATACTGTGTCTCAGTGGGGTATCCATGTTTAACTGCGACATGGTGTCTCAGTGGGATCTCGGAGTCAGTATACTGTGTCTGAGTGGGGTATCCATGTTTAACTGCGACATGGTGTCTCAGTGGGATCTCGGAGTCAGTATACTGTGTCTCAGTGGGGTATCTATGTTAAACTGCGGCATGGTGTCTCAGTGGGATCTCGGAGTCAGTATACTGTGTCTCAGTGGGGTATCCAATGTTAACCTGCGACATGGTGTCTCAGTGGGATCTCGGAGTCAGTATACTGTGTCTGAGTGGGGTATCCATGTTTAACTGCGACATGGTGTCTCAGTGGGATCTCGGAGTCAGTATACTGTGTCTCAGTGGGGTATCTATGTTAAACTGCGGCATGGTGTCTTAGTGGGATCTCGGAGTCAGTATACTGTGTCTCAGTGGGGTATCCAATGTTAACCTGCGACATGGTGTCTCAGTGGGATCTCGGAGTCAGTATACTGTGTCTCAGTGGGGTATCTATGTTAAACTGCGGCATGGTGTCTTAGTGGGATCTCGGAGTCAGTATACTGTGTCTCAGTGGGGTATCCATGTTTAACTGCGACATGGTGTCTCAGTGGGATCTCGGAGTCAGTATACTGTGTCTCAGTGGGGTATCTATGTTAAACTGCGGCATGGTGTCTTAGTGGGATCTCGGAGTCAGTATACTGTGTCTCAGTGGGGTATCCAATGTTAACCTGCGACATGGTGTCTCAGTGGGATCTCGGAGTCAGTATACTGTGTCTGAGTGGGGTATCCATGTTTAACTGCGACATGGTGTCTCAGTGGGATCTCGGAGTCAGTATACTGTGTCTGAGTGGGGTATCCATGTTTAACTGCGACATGGTGTCTCAGTGGGATCTCGGAGTCAGTATACTGTGTCTCAGTGGGGTATCCATGTTAAACTGCGGTATGGTGTCTCACTTGCCATGGGCTGGCATTATAAAACCGGCATTTATAAGTAGAAACTCTAAAAATGAGGGTTTTACAAAATTAGAAACAAAATGTTTAGTAAGTTTTTCAATCAAGCACAGCATTTTCAATGCGTTGTGTAAATATATATATATATGTCTTTATATGGAAGTATTTGTTTCTTGTGCCAAAATTCAATTTAAAGTGTTTATTGTATGAAGGCCATTGACCCAAACACATGAGGTGCACATTATACAGTACAGGATCATCTCACAAAAAGATTCACTTGTTTCATTTAGTGCTCTACTGCTCTTGAAGGCACTATAATAATGATGCTATTAAATTGTGTCAGAATGAGCTAAATCCATATTCCATTGATTTCTTCTTCTTCAGGAAAGGACTGTAGACAGGAAGGGAGAGTTCATCCATGAGGGAGGAGTGTATCTTTGGCGCACCCTCAGGTGTAATCTTTTTAAATAGCTTGACCGATTTTTCTAAATTTTCACAAAAACAAAAATCAAATATGAGTCTTGTATACTGTCCTGGGTTACTGCTTACCATTGGGGTGGTGGGATGGCCCAGTGGTTAAAGCATTCACTTGCCACACAGAAGGCCTGGGTTTCAATCTCCAACATGGGTTTCAATCTCCAACATGGGTTCAATCTCCAACATGGGTTCAATCTCCAACATGGGTTTCAATCTCCAACATGGGTTTCAATCTCCAACATGGGTTCAATCTCCAACATGGGTTCGATCTCCAACATGGGTTTCGATCTCCAACATGGGTTCAATCTCCAACATGGGTTCAATCTCCAACATGGGTTCAATGTGTGGAGCCCATTGCTGGCGTCCCTCGACATGGTATTGCTGGAATATTGTTAAAAGTAGGGGTGTCACGATAAATCGAAATATCGATATGTTGCTATTGGGAAGCACTTAAAGTCAATAAATCGATTGTTAAATCAGTTTCGGATCAATAGTATCGATTTCATTTAGGAAAATCGATAGTTTCGATTGTATTAAATATCAATTAAATACATGCAATGCTTTACAAATTTGTTTTTCTTTCAATCATGAGTGGTACTAATTTACACATGAAGTTTCCTTTTCTTAAACTATTAGGGTAAAAACAAAACAAATCAGTCATATTTCAAACTGTACTTTTTATTTGTTGTTATGGTTATCACATTCAAAGGAAACTTCAGTTCCAAGATTTAATTCAACTCTAAAATCCATCTAAAATGATACACTGAAAACTATCGATATTTATCGCAATAGTTGCTTGCAATATCAATAGTTATCGCAATAGTTTCTTTCAATATCAATAGTTATTGCAATAGTGATTTCCAGACCAATAGTCACCCCTAGTTAAAAGCGTCATAAAACAATATTCATTCACTCACTACTGTCCACCATAGTTTATCAGAGAATGATACATCCATCAATGTTTGAAAAAAATCTCGATGTCTTTTGATGGGAATTAGAACCTTCAATACAAAGTAATTACACTTAAGAATAATCCAAGGAAACTCGACCCTCCAACACAAAACGAGACATTTGTGTCAATGAATGGATTTCAACTATCCAGTAGCATGGCATCTCTTGACCTCTTCTCCTTCAAGACCGGTATCCTTATTACTATGCCATTACCAGGCCTGGTTTCCTGGTAAACAATACCAAACTTTGACACCATCTGACCAATCCGCACAAAGATGACGCTCTGCACACTGTGACTCAGACCAGTGTGTTGACATACCTTTTATGAAGCAAATCCTCCTCAGCACCGATTGGCCACATCATCGGCCAAACAAGTGGCATTGTGGTGCGATAGAACGCATGTTTGCGGATCATGGCCTCATGGTGTATCACCAACTCGCTTTCCGGTAGTTCGGAAGACGACCACATCACGTCACAGTGTTGTTTGGCTTCAGAATGACGCTAAAGTGTAAATATTGTAAATTGATGGAGTCCGCAATTCGAGGTTCATAATAGCTTAGCATGGCAGGCTGAATAGTTGTGGACCTTCAGTCTGCCCTTCATGTTGGTGGACACCTCATGCAATTAACACTCATACTCCACCATTGAAATACTCTAACATGTGATGGCGATTTTTAGCTCAGTTTTACATTTTTTGTCTCTTTAACTAAAGAGTTGGTTTAAAGAAAGTAATGGAAGAAAATTATCGCATGTTTGAGCAAACATAACCCGTCGTCATTATGGCTGATTGGAAGGGTATTGATTCACGGGAAATCTGAAGGCAACTATCAAATTAAACATGTCTTTTGGTGGAAGAAGAATCGTGCCTAATCTGTCTGTGGTCCAAATATTCTGCAAGGAGCTAAATATTCTATATATGGTGTTTCCAATTTGAAAAAGATTAAGTGTCTTATATGAACTCATATTGGTTTGTGAGTTTGGTTTTGTGAGGCCGATTGGTCTGTCCAATGTATCTTCTGTAGTCAGAACACTCATCTACCTACCTGCACACAGGTAACTTCTGTAGTCAGAACACACATCTACCTACCTGCACACAGGTAACTTCTGTAGTCAGAACACACATCTACATACCTGCACACAGGTAACTTCTGTCGTCAACACACATCTACCTACCTGCACACAGGTAACTTCTGTAGTCAGAACACACATCTACCTACCTGCACACAGGTAACTTCTGTCGTCAACACACATCTTCATACCTGCACACAGGTAACTTCTGTCGTCAGAACACACATCTACCTACCTGCACACAGGTAACTTCTGTAGTCAGAACACTCATCTACCTACCTGCACACAGGTAACTTCTGTAGTCAGAACACACATCTACCTACCTGCACACAGGTAACTTCTGTCGTCAACACACATCTACCTACATGCACACAGGTAACATCTGTAGTCAGAACACACATCTACCTACCTGCACACAGGTAACTTCTGTAGTCAGAACACATATCTACCTACCTGCACACAGGTAACATCTGTAGTCAACACACATCTACCTACCTGCACACAGGTAACTTCTGTAGTCAGAACACACATCTACCTTCCTGCACACAGGTAACATCTGTAGTCAGAACACACATCTACATACCTGCACACAGGTAACTTCTGTCGTCAACACACATCTACCTACCTGCACACAGGTAACTTCTGTAGTCAGAACACATATCTACCTACCTGCACACAGGTAACTTCTGTAGTCAGAACACATATCTACATACCTGCACACAGGTAACTTCTGTCGTCAACACACATCTACCTACCTGCACACAGGTAACTTCTGTAGTCAGAACACATATCTACCTACCTGCACACAGGTAACTTCTGTAGTCAACACACATCTACCTACCTGCACACAGGTAACTTCTGTAGTCAGAACACATATCTACATACCTGCACACAGGTAACTTCTGTAGTCAACACACATCTAGCTACCTGCACACAGGTAACTTCTGTAGTCAGAACACATATCTACCTACCTGCACACAGGTAACTTCTGTCGTCAACACACATCTACCTACCTGCACACAGGTAACATCTGTAGTCAGAACACACATCTACCTACCTGCACAAAGGTAACATCTGTAGTCAACACACATCTAGCTACCTGCACACAGGTAACTTCTGTAGTCAGAACACATATCTACCTACCTGCACACAGGTAACTTCTGTAGTCAGAACACACATCTACCTACCTGCACACAGGTAACTTCTGTAGTCAGAACACACATCTACCTACCTGCACACAGGTAACTTCTGTAGTCAGAACACACATCTAGCTACCTGCACACAGGTAACTTCTGTAGTCAGAACACATATCTACCTACCTGCACACAGGTAACTTCTGTCGTCAACACATATCTACCTACCTGCACAAAGGTAACATCTGTAGTCAACACACATCTACCTACCTGCGCACAGGTAACTTCTGTAGTCAGAACACACATCTACCTACCTGCACACAGGTAACTTCTGTAGTCAACACACATCTACCTACCTGCACACAGGTAACTTCTGTAGTCAGAACACACATCTACCTACCTGCACACAGGTAACTTCTGTAGTCAGAACACACATCTACCTACCTGCACACAGGTAACTTCTGTAGTCAGAACACACATCTACCTACCTGCACACAGGTAACATCTGTAGTCAGAACACACATCTACCTACCTGCACACAGGTAACATCTGTAGTCAGAACACACATCTACCTACCTGCACAAAGGTAACATCTGTAGTCAACACACATCTACCTACCTGCACACAGGTAACTTCTGTAGTCAGAACACATATCTACCTACCTGAACACAGGTAACTTCTGTAGTCAGAACACATATCTACCTACCTGCACACAGGTATCTTCTGTAGTCAGAACACACATCTACCTACCTGCACACAGGTAACTTCTGTAGTCAGAACACATATCTACCTACCTGCACACAGGTAACTTCTGTCGTCAACACACATCTACCTACCTGCACACAGGTAACTTCTATAGTCAACACACATCTACCTACCTGCACACAGGTAACTTCTGTAGTCAGAACACACATCTACCTACCTGCACACAGGTAACTTCTGTAGTCAGAACACACATCTACCTACCTGCACACAGGTAACTTCTGTAGTCAGAACACACATCTACCTACCTGCACACAGGTAACTTCTGTAGTCAGAACACATATCTACCTACCTGCACACAGGTAACTTCTGTCGTCAACACATATCTACCTACCTGCACAAAGGTAACATCTGTAGTCAACACACATCTACCTACCTGCGCACAGGTAACTTCTGTAGTCAGAACACACATCTACCTACCTGCACACAGGTAACTTCTGTAGTCAACACACATCTACCTACCTGCACACAGGTAACTTCTGTAGTCAGAACACACATCTACCTACCTGCACACAGGTAACTTCTGTAGTCAGAACACACATCTACATACCTGCACACAGGTAACTTCTGTAGTCAGAACACACATCTACCTACCTGCACACAGGTAACATCTGTAGTCAGAACACACATCTACCTACCTGCACACAGGTAACATCTGTAGTCAGAACACACATCTACCTACCTGCACAAAGGTAACATCTGTAGTCAACACACATCTACCTACCTGCACACAGGTAACTTCTGTAGTCAGAACACATATCTACCTACCTGCACACAGGTAACTTCTGTAGTCAGAACACATATCTACCTACCTGCACACAGGTATCTTCTGTAGTCAGAACACACATCTACCTACCTGCACACAGGTAACTTCTGTAGTCAGAACACATATCTACCTACCTGCACACAGGTAACTTCTGTCGTCAACACACATCTACCTACCTGCACACAGGTAACTTCTATAGTCAACACACATCTACCTACCTGCACACAGGTAACATCTGTAGTCAGAACACACATCTACCTACCTGCACACAGGTAACTTCTGTAGTCAGAACACACATCTACCTACCTGCACACAGGTAACATCTGTAGTCAGAACACACATCTACCTACCTGCACACAGGTAACATCTGTAGTCAGAACACACATCTACCTACCTGCACAAAGGTAACATCTGTAGTCAACACACATCTAGCTACCTGCACACAGGTAACTTCTGTAGTCAGAACACATATCTACCTACCTGCACACAGGTAACTTCTGTAGTCAGAACACACATCTACCTACCTGCACACAGGTAACTTCTGTAGTCAGAACACATATCTACCTACCTGCACACAGGTAACTTCTGTCGTCAACACACATCTACCTACCTGCACACAGGTAACTTCTGTCGTCAACACACATCTACCTACCTGCACAGGTAACTTCTGAACACATCTGAACCCTGTCTACAGGTAACTTATATAGCCAGAACACATCTGTCAACCCTGCCCACAGGTAACTTATATGGTCAGAACACATCTATGCAACCCTGTCCAAAGGTAAGTTATTTAGCCAGCAGACATCTATGCAAGCCTGTCCACAGGTAACTTATATAGCCAGACGATGTCTATGCAACCCTGTCCACAGGTAACTTATATAGCCAGAACACATCTGTCAACCCTGTCCACAGGTAACTTATATAGCCAGCAGACATCTATGACACCCTGTCCACAGGTAACTTATATAGCCAGAAGACATCTATGCAACCTTGTCCACAGGTAACTTATATAGCCAGAAGACATCTCTGCAACCCTGTCCACAGGTAACTTATATAGCCAGAAGATGTCTATGCAACCCTGTCCACAGGTAACTTATATAGCCAGAAGACATCTATGCAACCTTGTCCACGGGTACCTGCACACAGGTAACTTCTGTCATCAACACATATCTACCTACCTGCACAAAGGTAACATCTGTAGTCAACACACATCTACCTACCTGCACACAGGTAACTTCTGTAGTCAGAACACACATCTACCTTCCTGCACACAGGTAAAATCTGTAGTCAGAACACACATCTACATACCTGCACACAGGTAACTTCTGTCGTCAACACACATCTACCTACCTGCACACAGGTAACTTCTGTAGTCAGAACACATATCTACCTACCTGCACACAGGTAACTTCTGTAGTCAGTACACATATCTACCTACCTGCACACAGGTATCTTCTGTAGTCAGAACACACATCTATCTACCTGCACACAGGTAACTTCTGTAGTCAGAACACATATCTACCTACCTGCACACAGGTAACTTCTGTCGTCAACACACATCTACCTACCTGCACACAGGTAACTTCTGTCGTCAACACACATCTACCTACCTGCACAGGTAACTTCTGAACACATCTGAACCCTGTCTACAGGTAACTTATATAGCCAGAACACATCTGTAAACCCTGCCCACAGGTAAGTTATTTAGCCAGCAGACATCTATGCAAGCCTGTCCACAGGTAACTTATATAGCCAGACGATGTCTATGCAACCCTGTCCACAGGTAACTTATATAGCCAGAACACATCTGTCAACCCTGTCCACAGGTAACTTATATAGCCAGAAGACATCTATGACACCCTGTCCACAGGTAACTTATATAGCCAGAAGACATCTATGCAACCTTGTCCACAGGTAACTTATATAGCCAGAAGACATCTATGACACCCTGTCCACAGGTAACTTATATAGCCAGGAGATGTCTATGCAACCCTGTCCACAGGTGACTTATATAGCCAGAACACATCTCTGCAACCCTGTCCACAGGTAACTTATATAGCCAGAAGACGTCTATGCAACCCTGTCCACAGGTAACTTATATAGCCAGAAGATGTCTATGCAACCCTGTCCACAGGTGACTTATATAGCCAGAACACATCTCTGCAACCCTGTCCACAGGTAACTTATATAGCCAGAAGACGTCTATGCAACCCTGTCCACAGGTAACTTATATAGCCAGAAGATGTCTATGCAACCTTGTCCACAGGTCACTTATATAGCCAGAAGACGTCTATGCAACCCTGTCCACAGGTAACTTATATAGCCAGAAGATGTCTATGCAACCCTGTCCACAGGTGACTTATATAGCCAGAACACATCTCTGCAACCCTGTCCACAGGTAACTTATATAGCCAGAAGACGTCTATGCAACCCTGTCCACAGGTAACTTATATAGCCAGAAGATGTCTATGCAACCTTGTCCACAGGTCACTTATATAGCCAGAACCCATCTATGCAACCCTGTCCACAGGTAACTTATATAGCCAGAAGACGTCTATGCAACCCTGTCCACAGGTAACTTATATAACCAGAAGATGTCTATGCAACCCTGTCCACAGGTGACTTATATAGCCAGAACACATCTCTGCAACCCTGTCCACAGGTAACTTATATAGCCAGAAGATGTCTATGCAACCCTGTCCACAGGTAACTTATATAGCCAGAACCCATCTGTCAACCCTGTCCACAGGTAACTTATATAGCCAGAACACATCTCTGCAAACCTGTGTACTCTGTACTCAATGCTGGTAGAGGCCGTGTACACAGATTACTGTGCACTCAGTTATGATAGATTTAGGTGACTGACGTATCGTAGGTGCAGCTCATGTAACAAGCTCCATCGCCACCCATCCACATCTCTGCCCCACCCCTCTCTCCAACCGGCTCCACCCCAACCCCGTCAATGCTCCCGTCTGTCTCCCAGGCCTCCGGCATTGTTGAAGATGTTTATTTTCCATGCATCAGTGGCACTTGGACAAACAGACCCGACCTCGTCTTTGTCTTGTGAGATTATCTGGAAGAGAGACCTAGTGGTAGAGGGAAGATGCTTGTTTTGTCAAACCTGATATTTCTTGCAGTCATCCCATACAAGAATCTTAGATCTTTGGCGAGTTGATTAAAGTGTCATTTTTTAATGCAACAGAGACTATGTTTATCCTTCCTCGTCTGATTCAGGTTTTTTCTGGGGTCTAGCTGTGAACAAAGTCCAACATTGTTAAACAGTTCTTTCACAGTCCCCACTTAAAATGAATCATCCAAAAGTGAGCGTATTAATTTCTTTATCATAACATGTTCCTGGTAAAAATTCAAAGCGAGTCTGCTTTATTCTTGCCGATGCGTGTACAAGAAAAGCAAACTAAAGATGCAGTGATCTCAATCTGCGCATGCAGCAGAACAATAGTGAGATCAGCATGGTGGGATACGGGGCAGCATATCGGGATCCGGGGGATCTCGGGGGGGATCTACGGTCTGCAGATAACCAACCCATCTTCTGTATCTCCAAGGTTGGGATAGGGGACGGAATTCCGTGACAGTTCCGTGCTGAGCTGTGACTCAGACCTTCAGATCAGGTGACCAGTATGCACGTGCTTTGCCAACAATCGTGTAACCAAGTCCCGCCTGACCTCACTGTTCATGGCTGCCATACAAAACTAGCCGTATTTCACTACATGTGCCAGACCAGGTGTTATTGTGTTGGAGATTTTCGGAACATCTGGCTCGATTTCTGTCCTGATGTTTATTATGAAATTGGGCTCTTTTCCTGAAATGAAGAGAAATTTATATGAAATGTATGTTTTTCTTGCACTTGGTCGAGGGAGAGGTTATTTTTATCTTTAAATGTTTTATTATTTCAATTGTAGAAATGAAAGATAGATGTGAGGTAGCAGTTGGGTTGAAACTGACAAACAAAAACATTCTGTTGTGGAATTATAAAATGATGCACTGCGAAGATGTCTATCAAAGTCGGAAAAAGAAAATATTTCCAGATTCGTTTTAGGAAAGAAAAGAGTTTGCCAGAGATTTCTCCAAAAAGGCTAAAAAATGTGGACATATTCTTTTTAACTTCCAATACTTGATCGGAGAATATTTCAAACAACAGAACTTTTTTTAAAAATTTAATAAAAGATCTTGAATATCACTCGATAATGTTTGATACGTGTATTCCATCGGAGACTTTCAAACTTCTTCCATTACACACACAATTTATTCCCCCAAAGTTTCAAATGTCTTATTTAAGAAAAGTCAGTTGTTTAATAGTTTGTTTGATTAGTTGAGATGCTCTGACTTGTCCCAGCGCAGGAAACTGCTCCTGTTGAATACCGGGGCACGGGGGCACGGGGGCATGGTTGGCACGTCTAAGGCGCCACAATTCGCCTACAGAGTTGTGTCCCTTGGGCACGCCAGAAATCTATGATAGTTGGTTCGAATCCTGGTTCGCCCCAATTATGTTTCTAGGTTTGAAGCACCATACCCGTGTTTGTGAGTTTCACCAAAGTGGTGAACGTCTATGACTTGCATCAATTCGAGTCAGTATACTGTGTCTGAGTGGGGCGTTCATGTTAAACTGCGACATGGTATTTCAGTGGGTTAGTCACTATTAAACCATCATTAGTCCGGACTAGTAAAATCACACGCACGATGCACCTGCACGCACGCACACTCCTGTCTCTTACACACGCACACGCACACGCACACGCACGCACACACGCACACACATCACTATTTATGTCACTATATATGTGTAATAATTTTGGGGCGTTAAACCTCAAGTCACCTCACATATATGAATGACGTACTTCACAGATCCTGTTCAACAAAGTGATAATAGCGCTACAGCTGTCTTTATAAGTCTATGTTAAAGTATAGGCATTACGTTCGTCTTAGACCCGTGAAGATTCCGGGGTAGAATAGGTCTTCAGCAACCCATACTTGCCGTAAAAGGCGACTATGCTTGTCGTAAAAGGCGACTAACGGGGTCGGGTGGTCAGGCTCGCTGACTTGGTTGATACATGTCATCGATCCCAATGGCGTGGATCGATGCTCATGATGTCAATCACTTGACTGTCTGGTCCAGACTCGATTATTTTACAGACCGCCGTCATATAGCTTGAATATTGCTGAGTGCGGCGTTAGTCTTAGCACTAACATTGCTTTGAGGAATAGGACCCTGAAACATTGTGGATGTATAATAAAAAAGTTATTTCTATTTTTCATTGTCCTAATGATGACTGCGATGTAACATTAAAACACTTAATATTTTCAGGTTTTATTATTAATGAATCCATCACCAAACAAACTATTTCAGCTTTATGTTTGCAACGACAAGAAAGCTTTAATTCCTGTTGCCAAATAAAAATGCCAAAGTTGTGCTGATCTACTGAGGATGTTGTGTTCTTTGACAGGCTACGTGTTAGCAACATGAAACAGTTCCAGCTTTCAGATCCTTTTAATGGATTACCGTCTCCCTAAAAACCTGCACATCCTGTCAAATCTACCTTTAATGCATTGCATTTTTGCACTAAAAACGCTTCCCTGTTTAAAGAGCAGCTAAAAAATATAATAATGTGTTTATAGCATTTTATGAACTCAACGTTGTGTTTCAGAGCCAAATAAATACACATTATGTTCGGGGTTCTGACAAACAGGCCGTATAAGACAGTTTTTGCTAACGCAGTTTCCATGCTTCCCATACCAATTTCTCTTCCAATCCCACAATTCCTTGGTAATACAGATGTTTATTGTCACCCGCGTGAAATAAAGGCCATATTTCACCACTTGGTTCAACATGCAAATCTTTGAATTGGCAACTAATAACGGCTCTGCAGGGAGCCCTCCGCGTCCTATTTGCTGTCCGCGTTGGTAATTGACGCGTCGGTAAGACAAGGCGCTATTAGTAGGTAGCAGGAATGTCAAGGCATAATGAGAACGGCCAGCGAAGTAGAAGTTACTCTGGTCTGTAGAATGATAACTGGGCATCATTAGCACACAGTTAGCTTGACTTATAAGCCAAATTACAGACTAGTAGAGTCCTGCTATTTCAGGCGTGTACATACTAACTAGATGCGATCAATATACAGAGGGGTCTTGCATGGACTTAATGCATTTTACAACTGTAGAGTGACGCTCTACATCAGCCTGATGAGATCTATGTGGACTAATTATGTTTGCTTAGGAGTTGTCTACCCTTGGAAAATGTCAAAGGATGAATTGGAATGCTGAGTCGGCATCTTTTTTCATTTGCATTACTTGGAATTAATTTGTCTTTCCTCCATTTTTTGTGCGAGTGTGGCCTGACTACTTATTTGTGGTCTGGACAAAACATGGGGTTTGTTTTTTTATGATTATTTTGAAACACTTTAGGGCCGCAGGACGCCTTGATATAAGGCAGTGTATATGTTGGTATAGACTAACGTTTGGTCTCTAAAATACATAATATTGATAGAAATAAGGAGCTACATTTAAATAGAAAAAGAGCCTCGGTGAGATGAGAAGTTTGAAAATCTAGATTTAATTCATTTAGGGCTATATCATTGTAGTAAGCATGGAGTGAGTGAGTGAGTACGGTTTTACGCCGCTTTTAGCAATATTCCAGCAATATCACGGCGGGGGACACCAGAAATAGGCTTCACACATTGTACCCATGTCGGGAATCGAACCCGGGTCTTCAGCGTGACGAGCGAACGCTTTAACCACTAGGCTACCCGACCGCCCCCAGTAAGCATGGAACCTAAATATAGATCTTATTATGTGATCATGAAGTAAGGGATGGGTTGAAGGGAAAACAATGGTTCAGGGACAATGAGACAGATCGATATTGGTAGCTTGGATTTAAAACATTTAAAACAGGTGCAGAGTATGTTTGAGCTGTATTAATGTGGGGTCAATCTTTCTATAGGAATATCATCTAGGTACTGATGTCAAGGGTCATGTTAGGAGGGTCCGCCTTTACAACCGACCGGCATATACCTGGTCATATATATCTGTGTTGTCGTCACAATCTCATCAAAATCTGATCTTAGTTCTCGCTATCGCTGAACAAAGATCTGAGGACGCCCATTAAGGGTCACGTCAGAACGACCTTTCGTCCAACCAATCAGAGCGTCGCTTACCAGAACATGAAAGTGACAGTCGGAATGTGTTTTCTAATCATGCAACCACGAAATATTAAACACGGGGTATTCCGAACGACAGTTACGGGTTTTATGATTATATCCATACAATCTAGGCCATCTATAAGCCATTCCAGAATGTTCTTCTTATCAGTTTTAATTATTTTAATTGAGAATACGTCAAAATATGTTTCGAAGCGTAGTCGCCAGTTTGAAACTGGTGTCGTAAAGCTCGAGAAAGCTGCCTTCTGATTGGCTAATGTCGATTTCTTGTCAGTCATTTCATTGGTCGGTCAAAATTCGCGAAAGGTCGTTCTGACGTGACCCGAAATGGGATGTCCTCAGATCTTTGTTTAGCGGTAGCGAAAACTAAGATCTGATTTTAATGAGATTGGTTGTCGTCACTGAATGGTTGTGTTAATTTGAGCCAAACACTCTCATAAAGTAAGTTGAAAGTTCATCAGTGAGACGTGTCCTTGACATTTGCATCTGTCAGAGATGCAGTTTAGGTCAACATGGCCTTGGCATGCACATCTGTCAGAGATGCAATTTAAGTAAACATGGCCTTGACATTCACATCTGTCAGAGATACAGTTTAGGTCAACATGGCCTTGGCATTCACATCTGTCAGAGATGCAGTTTAAGTAAACATGGCCTTGACATTCACATCTGTCAGAGATGCAGTTTAGGTCAACATGGCCTTGACATTCACATCTGTCAGAGATGCAGTTTAGGTCAACATGGCCTTGACATTCACATCTGTCAGAGATGCAGTTTAGGTCAACATAGCCTTGACATTCGCATCTGTCAGAGATGCAGTTTAGG